AAGTAAGTTCAAAGGTGCCCTTTCCAATGACGAAAATGACTTTATTTTTGAAAGCATGAAAGATTTCAATAAATGAATAGGTGAAGAATCTTTGTTTCTTCAGAGATATAGAGAGTATGACACCATTGTTGTCATCATACACTTGTATGTTATGAATTATTACATATCTTCATTTTGTCAATGTAGAGGAATGGCTGATAAAGGTTATGCCAGTAGGAGGTAAAGGAAAAATCCATTTCAGGTCATGTTAAATCTATTTGTCCAAGGAATGAGGTACATTACAATTTCCTATTCAAATGCCTCTAAAAGGCGTGAACCATGGACTTTAAGCTAATTGATATAGGACAGGTTATAGAAAGGACAGGGCAGAAAATACACTATTCAATTGAACATCAGTGATGCTTTCTGACGCAGACTTTGTTGTTCCAAACGGCTTCATTTATGTCTGCATAAATAATTCAGGTGTAAAGATCACAATTAATAACAGAACACAATATTAAAATATAGGACTACTGCTCCTGAGTTTTATTACACAGCATTTAAACAATAGACATTGTCATATTTTACCCCCGTGAAATTTCCCCTGACAATGACGATGTAAAATGTTGAAACATGTAGAAAAAACCCAGGATAAGTATTTTCCATTATTTAACAATGAAATCACAACAGTTACCTTTGCCATTATAATTTGATTCCTGATATTAATGGAACTTCTTCTCCTGTTTCATTATATCATAATAAAGGTAGAATATTAACACGGTACCTGGCGTCCTGTAAATCAACCTGCTACTTGGCATCATGTAAATTGAAATTGAGATGATTGGTTACCTAGTAACAAGGAAATGCTATCAACATGTCATGTCAAGATATTGTTTGAAAGCAGGCAATATCAGGCGATGTAGATATATGATTATCTTGTGTTTATATATAATATTGACAGCTATTACTGTTAAATTGATTCCATTGAACAGTCATGTAGTTTATCATGTGGTTTATTAGTAGGAATAAAGAGTGTCATCAGGTGCTTGTTGCAGATTATTCTGCCGATCTTGATGTGATTTCTTGTTTTTTTTATCAAGTTTAAATATACTTAATTTAGAGAAGATTCAAGTGATTCTAGATGAGTTCTGATTATTGTGCCAGATTATTTTGCTGATCATACTGTGACTTCTTGTTATTTTAATCAAATATACCAAGGTGACATTCGATTGAAGATGGATTACGATATTGTATATGTAAATTCAGATTAAAAGAATTGAAAGAATTAAAACAAACTTTAATATGAAAATTGGAGGTATGACTGGTTTCGATAGTTTTTTTTTTTTATCATGTTTCTGTAGATATGTTTATGATTTTGTCCTGACATATAGCCATCCATTTATCACTAGCTTCTTCTCATATGGTCACGTTATTAAGTGGTTTGGCTTCATCCCTTAGTTACACTTCACACAACATTAACACATATTCTTGAAATTAGAAGTAATGCTGTATCACTTTATATTGTTTTATAATAAAAGTAAGAGATATCTTTTAAGAGTGGCTAAAGTATTTTATTCTTCGTCATCCAACTTCATCAGGTGAAATGATTTGGAAAAGGAAGACGAAAGCTGGTAGACTAGAATACTTTAGTCACTCTTAAAAGATACCTCTAATTTCTTTTATTATACATATTCTTGGGATTCAAGGTATATGACTGTTTAATACTGTTTTAAAGGAGGATTTCTAGATTCACATTATTAAATGTGAATCTGAAACAATTGTAAAGCAATTGTTTATGTTTTTTTTAATTTTTTAAAGTGTTTTAATTCAGTGTTCAGTTGATATAACATTGTTTGATATCACATTTCATTGTGAAATACCTCCTCATTTATGATTGATATACTTCCTCATATTAGAAGGCATTAGCTGTTACAAGTGTATTGACAAGCTGTTATTTTGTGCTTTTGTGCATCATTTTTGCTCCTTTTTATTATACCTTTCTTATAGGTTATACTTTTTGAGTTCTTTTGGAATGAAAATGTAATTTTAGCTTTTGAAAGCCAGAAAGACGTCTGACATGCCATCTTATCTTTACTGGTTGATTGATAGATTTTCATAATAACTTTTAGAGTAAGAAGAATAACATTGAAACAAAAACAAATTGATTGTATATAACAAAACACAAGACAATATTATGGAATATAACACACTTTTTAAAGAAGTGTGTTATATTCCATAATATTGTCTTTTATTAAAGAAGTGTGTTATATTCCATAATATTGTCTCTTATTAAAGAAGTGTGTTATATTCCATAATATTGTCTTTTATTAAAGAAGTGTGTTATATTCCATAATATTGTCTTTTATTAAAGAAGTGTGTTATATTCCATAATATTGTCTTTTATTAAAGAAGTGTGTTATATTCCATAATATTGTCTCTTATTAAAGAAGTGTGTTATATTCCATAATATTGTCTTTTATTAAAGAAGTGTGTTATATTCCATAATATTGTCTTTTATTAAAGAAGTGTGTTATATTCCATAATATTGTCTTTTATTAAAGAAGTGTGTTATATTCCATAATATTGTCATTTATTAAAGAAGTGTGTTATATTCCATAATATTGTCTTTTATTAAAGAAGTGTGTTATATTCCATAATATTGTCTCTTATTAAAGAAGTGTGTTATATTCCATAATATTGTCTTTTATTAAAGAAGTGTGTTATATTCCATAATATTGTCTTTTATTAAAGAAGTGTGTTATATTCCATAATATTGTCTCTTATTAAAGAAGTGTGTTATATTCCATAATATTGTCTTTTATTAAAGAAGTGTGTTATATTCCATAATATTGTCTTTTATTAAAGAAGTGTGTTATATTCCATAATATTGTCTTTTGTTAAAGAAGTGTGTTATATTCCATAATATTGTCTTTTATTAAAGAAGTGTGTTATATTCCATAATATTGTCTTTTATTAAAGAAGTGTGTTATATTCCATAATATTGTCTTTTATTAAAGAAGTGTGTTATATTCCATAATATTGTCTTGTGTTTTGTTATATGTGCTCCTCGCTTCTATATGTCGTTCAAATCTTAAATTGATTGTATATGATCAGAAAGTTTTCAATTATTTTTGCCGAAGGGAAAGGTTTTCAAATGAATCAATTCAACACTGAAATTTTCCATGGTGAATTTGTAAACAAAGTTGAAATGTTGTTATGTTTTGTTTACATTCATTCCAGCAGTCATTGATTTTACCTTTATATAAATAAATAAATAATACAGTATGGAATCTACTTTAATCATATAGTTATTATAATGAAATGTCATTTGTGGTTTTCAACTAATCTTTTATAAACGTGAAAATGTTAGTAACGCATAGGATAACGGTAGCAATGGTCAATGGTGTTTCTATAAAAAAGTTACGCTGACCGACTTTTAGATCATTGTGTTATATTTGAATCAGAAAATGGACGCTTTAATGTTAACTGTGTCAAAATTTGTAAGTTTATCTGAGACTGTAGGTTATGTGTAGACTATTAACATATTCTTTCAGATTGGCAACTCTCAGTCTTTACAATTTCTAATTTTATGTGATTATTTAAGCTAATATTGTCTTAGTAAAGTTGTTTACCTTTTTAGACTTGAACACTGGGTACTGGCAATTACATGATAGTATTTGTTCTATTTACTTCAATGAACTAGGAATATTTTGATATAGCTTTTTTTTTTACGATATTATCTGACTGATGTTTTATTCTGATCTCGCTTCTTTACATATTACTTGTGTGTAGTTCTGATTATCATATTTGAACACAAATTTAAAGGAGTAACATAGGACTTGTGTGTTCATTTGAATCTTATACACACACATTTCTTTACTGAGCAGATGAAATAATACACATGAGATTAATGATACAAATATCTGAATGTTCATTGTGTGGCTAAAACTTGTTCATTCTTTCATTTGTCTTATGTGACTTGAAAACTCCAGTTATGTAATTGATTTTCCACCAATTTTGAATTTGGTAGTAAGTCCTTAACATTATCATATGTCTATCTTAACATTGTCTCTTTTCAGCAATTTCTGATGCGGATGACCCTCCACAGCCTAGAAATATCCGACTTGGATCATTTATGCCAATGGGTTCACAAACCAGTGAAGCGTTTTCTGAAGCTGATAAAGATACCTTTGTAGGGGTATGGTCGTGTAGATTTAAACTACCAAAATGGTTACGTAAATTAAAATTTCCAGACACCATGGAACCTACCAGTAAGTGTATTAAATATACAGGGTCTGGATAATCTAGTCTGGATTCTAGACTAATCCTTGATGTGAATAATTATAAAAATATTGCATTATAAATCGTGATGTTTATTTATCAAATGATATCCCATAATTGGTTATTTTTAGTCAATATATAGATTATAGATTACTTTATTATCATTAATGATGAGATAAGTTAACCATTTGCCTTGAAATTTGATTCTTATTTTGACATTCAGAATGACATAGACTGTCTAGGGAAAAGTAATTGTGTTATTATCAAAGGAATGATTAGACTTTCTAAATCCCATATTACAATTCTTTTTCAAAGAGTTAAATTTGCCATTTGAAACATTGATGTGATCTATTCTGTATTTTATTTTAAAAATTTATGAATGTGACGGTAGTTTTCCTGAATTCTAAAAAAGAATAATTGTTTGTTAAGCAAGGGACATTACTCTTGACTCCTGATATTACCTTCATTGTATTCTATTTGGTGATCCATCAAGTTCTATGTTAGATCACAAAATGTCTTCCTTCAACCTTGCACTGGGTAACATCACAATTATAGTAAACTTTGATTTACTAGAAGTTAATACTTGAGAATAATTTGTACTGGTTGGGACATTGTCTGATGGCCAGCTTAAGAATTTGTCTTCCAAGAATTGAAATTTATAAATTAGTTTGTCCTTATTTTATAAATAACCTAACAAATATGTTTGACTTTATAAACTGAGATGAATGTTTTATATTTAAGGTAAATGGTATGTGTCCTGGTTGTTTCTGGTAATGATGGCCTATATGTACAATGCCTGGGTAATACCATTACGTGGTGTATTCCCCTATCAAACACCAGATACTGTGGTTTATTGGCTTGTTATGGATTATATCTGTGATTTTCTCTATGTTGTTGATATTTTGATATTTAAAGTACGATTGAGATTTATCAACAATGGTATTGTAGAGGTGAGAATTTGATTGATATTGAATGGTATTCCTATAAGACTTAATAATTGGTATATATGAAATGATATCATTGTATTGAACAGAAATCTTCCAAACGTATCTAGTCCAGGCGTGTCCATAGAAATATTGACCTTGTTAAAATGATTGGACTCAATGAATTATTTGATCTCTGAGCTATGCCTTCATTATTTTCGATCCAGAATCTTGTTTTCTCTCATTAGTATTCACAGATATGAAATTATACAATGTAGATATCTAATCCATATTGATAGTCAAGTCTTAAACATTTGACAAACAATGTTAAACCAAGTTTCTTACAAAATAACTAGGCAAATCAGTTTTTATTTCATGTAATAAATCCTGAATTAGATAACTTAGTTATAATTATGATATTATTTCATATCTTGTATTTACAGACTAATAGAAAAGAAACTAAGAAACATTATATGAAGAAATGGATGTTCAGAGTAAGTTTGTTTGTATATAAATGTTGCTCATGTGTATTTTGAAAATCAGTGAACAGTGCTGTTTCGATTAATCAAAAGGCCTAGTTAGGGGGACTCTCAGACTGTTCTTTCCCTTGTGTAAAAGGATACAGAATTTGAACGTGGTGGGGGTACAAGATTTGGAAACAAGATTGCCGTTGAAGTCTTATAACTTGGGCTGCCAGTGGTTGGTTCATTGGTAGATGGCAAGTTAACATCTGCTGCCTATTATGTACCACATTGAAGGACACACCATTGTAAAATTCAACTCATTAAGTAGCCTTCCAAGCAACATATTTCGAACTAGATTCAAAATAGTTTGATATCTCTATTTCTAGTTAGATGTATTGGCGTTAATTCCATTAGATCTGTTCTACCTTCTTGTTGGTGTAAATCCCTGGCTTCGTGTACCACGATTATTAAAGGTAAGAAAGGTCTCTTTTTGTGCTGTGAAAATCAGAGTCTCATGCCTCAAAAACTTTTATGATAAGAATTTATTGTAATTATGTTATTTTCCATTGAGAATAAAATACTTATGACAGGACCAAGAAATCCTGCTTGATGCTGTTTGCAATTAATTTGAATCCTTAGATATAGTTTACAAATTAGAAATCTAAGAAAGGGGGAATGATTGGTTTTCTACATACTAATTGATGTGTGATTTATTTTCAACTAATAGAATGTTGGCATTATAACCACTGCAATGCTGTCAAAATATCTGCCTTACAAAAGATAAGCATCGCTGTTTGTTTGAGCTTGTTTATCCACCATAAGTTTCAGTCATCTAATCCCGTGGCTTTTTTCAATTTTTAGATTCAGACATTTTGGGAATTTTATGACAGATGTGATCAGGCAGCAAAATCTACAGCTCATACAATAAGGTAATGTAGTATTCTTCAGATCCTTATTAAAGACAGGTCATTGAAGATGAAATAAATTTGAATTCTTTTCCAATAATCAATAAATCAATATCCATATTATAAAACCAAACAAGTTTCTGGAACTATCTTGGTATCTGTCTAAGACTGTAAATTGTCTGGAAGACTTCCTGCTAGTCTGTAATCAGCAGCTTTAATAGAAACATCTATCAATATAGTCTATAGAGCTATCTTTCTCAAAGTTAAACTACCTTTTAAATAGTAGTCTCGAACATTTCATAAAAAAAACGTTCTTAGATCTGAGTTTTGATGTCATGACACCAATAGTTATAAAAATAAAAATTAAGATTGAATATTATGATAATAAAATATTTGTATTTGAAGAAGAAGTAGACCCTATTCATTTAATATCACCTTTGTTATTTATATGCCCAATAAATTTAAGAAATTCATGGTTTTCAAAGAGAATGATACATGTATTAGCATGGTGGTATTTCTCATTTCAGAATTATCAAGACAATGACGTATATGTTATTTTTAATTCATATTGAAACATGTGGTTATTACGCTGCGTCTGTATATCAAGGAATAGCCAGTAATAGATGGGTATATAATGGAGTAGGCAATGCGTAAGTAGTGACTATATCAATTTAGTTTATAGTATTAAATACAGGTACATAAACTAGACTTTCAGATATTATATTGTATCTCAGTTCATGTGCTACAAAAATCCTTTTGAAGAATGTGATTCTCAAGGAATATTCACGAAAATATCTTTAGTACAAAAGGTCAAAAATCGGACCATTCATGAGCACTAATATCAGATCTTGAATACCTACCAATGTGTCTTTCTTCCATTCTGTCCCTTATAGACAATACAACCACAACACACAAAAAAAGCATAACTTTTTACAGACAATGTACATGAAATATCCATATTTATTTATATTATGCTGCAGGTATATCCGATGTTTTTATCTGGCCACTAAAACAGCTACTTCCATTGGTAACAATCCTAAACCTACCAATAATCTAGAATATATGTTTATGGTATTATATTGGTTATCAGGAGTTTTTGTCTTTGCCTTGCTGATTGGTCAGGTATGTAAGTAATGTAGAATCTTGATAAATATTAATATAACAAGAATGTCTCCATTCTGTAAGACATTGGAGTAATCTTAATGACTGTGGAAAGATCAGATGAAATTTGAAGCCCCTCTTTTTTGCACAGCCTGTATCAGGTTAGCAAGTGAGAGTCTAACTCACTGAGCCCAATGAATATTGTGGACCCAATTGGGTTGCTTTGGCTTACCACTTTATTAAAGGATGAGGACAACTGATTTTTTAATTGTTTTTTTTTAATTATATATTAGATTCGAGATATAGTAGAAGCCGCCGGTCATGTAAAAGATAAATATCAGAAGAAAATGGATGCTGTATCATGGTATATGAGATCTATTAATCTTCCTAAAGAAATGCAAGACAGAGTTCGTGAATGGTTTCTATATAACTGGGAACAACAAAAAACTCTTGGTACGTTCAAGATTCATTATATTACACAAAATGATTTTAATTTTAGTTTTATCAACTAATCTGATCATTTAGTTTCTTGGCATCTCAAATTGATTTTTGCTAAGACACTGATTTCAGATCTGTGGCCTTCTTACAGTGACTGGAGTTAACCATGTGATCTTGCAGATGTATTTAAGTCCAGTTGATTCCCAAGTACTGACATGACAAGGTATTTTAGGAGTTTTAAATTCTGACAGTACGATAGCAGGACTTCACTGGAGGTGTATAAGATTTCATATTGTAATTACAGATGAGAGGTCACTACTAGAAGCTTTGCCAAAGAAATTACAGGCTGATATGGCCATTAGCGTACATTTTAATACCTTGAGTAAAGTACAACTCTTCCAGGTAAGAATTGAAACAATGACAGAATTATACAGTTTAAAGGAAGTAACTTGCAGAATTAGACATTACAATCACCATTGTATCAATCAAAGATACAAAACAATGGTCTGTAAGCTGTATTTTTTTGTAAGCATTCGAGTTGGTATTTTTTTTTTAACAAGGACATTAAATTGTAGAAGGAAGCCTATTTTAAAGACACAAAAGAATTCTATTCTATTTATCATTTTGTTTTTCAGGACTGTGATAAGAATTTATTATATGATTTAGTTTTAAAAATGAAAGCTTGTTTATATTTACCTCAAGATTATATTTGTAGAAAGGTATGTCTTTTATTGTATCTTCTTTATAGTCGTTAAATTCAGCTGGATCCAGGGCTGTTCATTTGCTCTAATTTCCAGACATTCCTGGCAGGGTAGCTCAATATCCTCGGTAGGACATCAAGTTAAGGATGACGATTTCTTGTCTTTCATTGTAAATCCCTAATACCGGTAGGATCCAGCCTTGAACAATATTCTTAAAGATGTATATGAAGATTAAATTATGTATCCTAGTCAATGGCCTTTCTATGAATTATTAGATGGGGGGGTCACAGAAATGTTACGTGAGGCTGCATGTTAAATGAAAAGAAATGTGGGGGTGGAGGGGGTGGAGGGAGGTGGAGGGAGGATACCAAGCCCCTCTTTAATCCTTGTTGTATTTTTTTGTATGACCTAGCTATATATTATTATAGGGTGAGGTGGGTAAAGAGATGTATATAGTCAGTCAGGGACAAGTTGATGTTGTGGGAGGAGAAGATGGTGAAACTGTATTAGCTACTCTACATGAGGGAAGTGTCTTTGGTGAAATCAGGTAAGTCAACCACCATGAAAGTAAAATAAAACAGAATAGGGTGTGTACATGAACTTAGAAGAGCTGAAAAAAGAATTGCCGTAAAGATGACTGTTCCCATCTTTGTTGTATGTGATGACCAACTGTTCAAGGCTTCACAGAAATCCTTAGTGGCACACAGAGCCTTGAATATTAGCAGTACCTTTGTAGCATATTTGTGCTTGTGTAAAAGCTCTTGTAATATAAATTTTCTAAGCCTAATCCAAATTGTTCTTGTGGATTTGTTGTGTAAATGTCTAAGATAGGGTCTATATAATATGAGACTTGATGATATTATAAAATCTATATTGTAGTTTATTAGCTATGTCTGGAGGAAACAGAAGAACGGCTAATGTCAGATGTAAAGGATTCACCAATCTGTTTACTCTATCTAAAGCTGATTTTGAAGAAGCTATGAGAGAATATCCTGAAGCACAAAAACTCTTAAAGAAAAGAGCCAAGTAAGAGATTAAATCTTTGGAAAAAATCCCATTATTCATATGAAATACTCTGAGAAACAAACAATATAAATGAAATTTGAGTGGTTGATTGAATGCAGCTTTTTCATTATCAAATTTCTATACATCTGAACCAAATTATTTCTGTCTATGTATTCACTATTGAAATAAAATTAACAAAATTATGTAATGGATGAAGGGATTTAAATGAAGAATGATAACTATTATTTGATGTCTGACAGGAAATTGTTAAAAGAAAATGCAGCAAGAGAAAGAAAAGCAAATAAAATGGAGGCAGAAGAAATTATTCGAACACCAACTGGTACTCCCAAATTATTAAAAACAGTCATTCAGGTAATCAATAGTTCACAATTTAATGTTTGATCTTAAACATATAGCAAAACTGACTTTAGTATGCTCAAACATTAAATACAACATGGTAGAAAGCGAGAATTACTAACCATTTTATAAGGATGAGACCTTGTGTTTCATAGATCATTTCTGTCCCAACTTTTGCTTGGCTTGCTGAATAATCTGTAACTACAGCTGGTTTGACTGGGATAAGGAAAGATGACTTATCTTTGTTCTCTGTGATAACAATTTGGACAATACAAGCAATATTTGTTAATAGAAAGCTTTAACTGTTATTTGAATCTGTAGGTTATGGATCCAGAATCTAACGTAGTAAAACAACTGGGAACATCTATTAAAAGTACACACAGTAATCATCAGAGAGAAAAACTCTCACCAGATTCAGCTAATGTTAGTCAATCTACATCATCTCTAGATGGTTCAGCATCACAATGTAATCATAATAAAGCTTTTGAATTTGGATCAGAGGTATGGTACATTTCTATTACTCACAATTATGAGATGGAGTTCTGTTCAGTCTAACTGTGAATGAATTTCAATTTTCTAACCCCTTGTTTTCGAAATTGTCCACTGATAAGACTTCAGTTTTAATCTCAATGTTGGAAGCAACAATATTTATATTTGTATCTATGATATAGATTTCCCTTTTTGATGATATCATATTATAGATTTCCCCGTCTAATATTTAACTTATTATAGATTTCCCTGTCTAATATTCATGTTAATATAGATTTCCCTGTCTGGTATTTGTTATTATAGATTTCCCTGTCTAATATTCATGTTAATATAGATTTCCCTGTCTAATATGTATGTATGATTAATAATAGATTTCCCTGTCTAATATTCATGTTAATATAGATTTCCCTGTCTAATATTCATGTTATTATAGATTTCCCTGTCTAATATTTATGTTAATATAGATTTCCCTGTCTGGTATTTATGTTAATATAGATTTCCCTGTCTAATATTCATGTTATTATAGATTTCCCTGTCTAATATTCATGTTATTATAGGTTTCCCTGTCTAATATTTATGTTATAATAGGTTTCCCTGTCTAATATTTATGTTATAATAGATTTCCCTGTCTAATATTCATGTTATTATAGATTTCCCTGTCTAATATTTATGTTATTATAGATTTCCCTGCCTTATTTATCATTATTATTATTATTATTTTTATTTATTATAGATTACCCTGCCTTATTTATTATTATTATTATTATTTTTATTTATTATAGATTACCCTGCCTTATTTATTATTATTATTATTATTATAGATTTCCCTGTCTGATATTCCCAATGATGATAAAGATTGTGATAGTTTGGGTGATGATGAAGAAGATGAACTATTAGTTATTGAACAGACTGAAGAAATTCTTGAAGAAGAAGATGTCATGAGAAGAGAAGAAACTGATAAAGTCAACAGTAGTGAAGAGAGTCAAGATTCAGGTAAAAAAAAAAAATTGTTCTCATGATCAGTTTTTGAGAAATACCTGTAGGCCTATCCATGCACTTTCTTTATTTTACTTTTGATTGAACTTGAGTGAATATTTTAGATGTTTGCTATTAATATCTTGTGCTTAATCATTTTTCTATGATTGTAGGAATACCGAACATGAAGAGAAGTACCAGTCAATGTACAGAGAATACACTAAGTAATCAAGATAGCAAGGATTCTTTCAATTTAACTGACTCTCAAGTTGTAAAGAAATTATCAGTTAGTTCAGATCCTGGTACCCAAAGAACGAATCCAACACGACAGGTTCCTATATTGAATATACAATTACCTACTCCTGAGACTATTTCTAATCCTAGTCGTGGCAGTACGGCGCCGTCTAGATCTAATAGTATCAGGAGTTCTAGCAGTGTGGAATCGGTCGAGTCTACCAACCAGAAAGATAATTCTAGTGAAACAAATAATGAAAATGTCGACCATGAAAAGACAAAACTAAAGGATGTACAATCAGTTAGTCCTAAAAGTCAATCAAGAAAATCAAGTGTTCAGAGCACGAAACTAGAAAGTGAACAAAACAGTGAAAGTTCTGATGTGGCAAGTTTACAGAGCTCTAGACCAGAAAGTTCTCAAAGTTCTAGACGTGCTAGTGAAGAAAGTTCCGGTCAAACAAGTTCACGGCCTGAAAGTTCCCAAAGTCTACGACGCACAAGTAATCAAAGTGAAAAGGACACTACCATTGAAAATGGCTCTTCTCGAAAAACAAGTGATTCCAGTCAAACACAAACTCCGAAAGAGCCACGCAAAACAAGTGAAAATAGTCTTAAACAACCTTCACCTAAACGTAAAATATCAGTAATAGAAATGCCACCTATTGAGGTGGTTGTGACAGAGGAACCTAGTGAAACACGTAAAACAAGTGCCTCTTCCCCCACTAGTGTTCCAGAAAAGGAATTAAATAGTGATGCAAATGCCAATGTGACTGAAAATAACGATCAGAACAAGAAAAAGATTGTGGTATCGGAAAAGGTTGAGCCAAAGGACCAGACGCGCAAAAAACTAGCTGTTGCAGGTAGTGAAATCCCTCCTGAAAATCAAATAACTTGTGCAGTCGAAATACATCGAGAAAAATCACGGACACCAACATCCATATTTTCAATGACAATTGATGGCAAAATTGTTGAAGTTCGATCAGAAGGTCACATGACACGGGAAACAGCATTGTGATGATTTTAGTTCAACAGACTTGATTTTGATTTTATAAAACTTTGTGCAATACTTTTATTTATTTTTCATAATTTGTAGGCCTTTTATAATTTCATTTATAAGAATAGTCAAACAAGATCACAATAACGATGAGGCATGGCTAATATAGATTTTGTACAAACAACTTCCTAAAGTTTTCCATTTAATTTTTTTATACGGCAGATTTTCCTTTTCTTTATCCTAAATTATCTCAGAAAATTTGAAATTTATTAATCTCCCAAAAGTGAAGATTTTGAAGGAGACCTGGTGTGGTAATCTGGAAGAACTATCATGAAATACATTGTTAATTGTTATTATTTATTACCGGTATATTAAAAATGAATATTAAATTTAATTAGCATTCAGAAGTTACTTCCCTTGATAAATTAGCCTTATGATTCATGTTGACATCCCCTTTGATCCATTTATTGATTTGATGTTAACGTCATAGCGTATGGTTGGAATTCTATTCCTTTTGAATGAAATTCCAGTAGATGTTATTAACACCAATATGTAAGCTAAGTGACCTTGAACCTTTTTTTTTTGTTACAACCATTTAACATTGGGTTTGATTTCCACGACTTTGCAAGAAAACTTCTAAATGACACAAAATTGTAGGTGTCGTCTAAACACGGAAGTTTTGACTTTCAAGAATTACACAGGTAATTTATAGAATAATTTTATTATTTCTTTATCATCTTCATAGAATAAACTGAGATAAGAGCACACAGATAATTATTTTGTGACTAAGTAAAAAAAAAAAAATCATTAGCACAACAAATTTAGTTAACAAAAACATTTGATCTTAGTTGCATAATTGTATGGTCGAGTAACAATATTTATGCTCATTCATCTCTGAATAAAAACAAAAGCCGATCAGTCCACTTATTTTTTAAGTAGTAATGACAACAATGAGAGTAAAGTCTGTATTGTTTCTGTTGCTATGTATTCTACCTAAAACTAAAGTGGACTGGTCAGTCATGTTGTATCAGACTCCAATGAGCATAGATATATTTGCTCAATTATAAGGACATATGAGGTTTGATCTATTTTTTTTCAGTATTTGCATTCAGGGAAGTATAATTCCAAGTCATAATAACAGATATACAGAACTGTTAAGTGAAGGAGTAATAGATTGAAAGAACACATGAAAATATAAGGTATATATAGAGTTATTTACATCAGTTCATATGTCTTCAGAGTCTAGTTTAATCCTATATTTACAGCAGAATCAGGCTTACTTCCAATAAGCACTTAATAACATCTAAGTCTTTAGGAATTCCCAATCTTATGTATTGCTTTAATGCTGTTTTCATTTTACTGCTAAAAGGATCCAGACCATCAAAAATTCAATCAAATTTGTTGTGTTCCCTTTGCAATGGGTCTGTTTTGACTATAACCATATTAAGAGTGACACTATGGTCATGTTAAAATTCCTGGTCAGATCCCTATCAACAACCATAAGGTTAGTAAGCCCAAATAGATGGATAAAATATAGAATTAAACTTGAAAATTAAGTTTTCAACAGATTATATCTGTAGTATGTTCACAAAATATATTGGAAATGAGATACAATAATATATATAGTAACAATAACAAGTAGTCCAATATCACCTTAAACTCTCACAATCACGGAGGTTTAACATTCAAATCTATCTAAATACACAGGGCTCTTTCAAAAAATAATACTTTTTATTTACCAAAATATAATATTTGTACCAGAAAAAAAAGCTAAGACATAAACAAAAGCTATATATCCCTCTATTATCTATAAAACAGTTATTTGATATTATCTTTGTTTCCTTTCTACCAAAACCCTTTTTTTTTCAAATTGTTTCTTTTCAATTAGAATAGGACAAGAAAACCAAATAACAAACATATACAACACATCAAACAAATTGTTGAACATGGTTCAGTTTTAAAAAAAAAAAAAAAGCTGGTACATTTGATTGGAATTACAAGTTAAGAACTCTATGTATGTTTTTCTTGACTGCGCACCGTCGTTTGGGTTTGTTATAAGTCTATTTTCTTTTAAGAAACTTCATAAGTAAAATTTGATCAAAATACCATATTTGATTACAGTAATAACAGAAAAGAGAATAAGAAATTTCGCCTTGGCAATGATCTGCAGAAGGTTTTTACAAACAAGCTTAGCTAAAGGCAAAGCTAAAAAACTTGCGTGGAGTGCAAACCAGGGCCTCTGAGGCTTGGGTCATTGTTTTCTGGAACTTTGACATTTCTTATTGAGTGTTATATGCAAGTAAAAGCAATAAATCTACCTTGGATACTTGAGTAATGCAGTTACAGCAAGAAAGATACTGAAGATTTGAAGCTGAGATTTTAAAGGCAAAGAGAAGTAATTGGCTCAAACCATATACAATCAATTTCACCCAATATAGCATATTATTTCTAGGATGCATGATTCAGGATACTATCTACTAATACCTATAATGTGCATTATTGAGAAAATAACTTAAATTATCAATTAAATATATGCTAAGGTTCAGGCTTATGAGGCCCATTGGCATTAAACGTGACTATTTATTTCAAGGGTAAATAATTTCTTACTTACAAAAAGTCTATCGATTTGTTTATATTCAAATGCAGGAAAACATGTTTATCCAGTATTACCTGCCATGGCAGCATGCTGAAGTATTTACTATCAAATACATGAAATATCAAGCGCTGGTTCCCCAGATTCAAACAAGACAAAATAACAAAAACCTTAACATAATGACTTGAACAAAACAAATAATATCTATATACATGTAAGCATTAATATGGGATGTTGGAATTTAGTGTTATAATGAAAGTTGATTAATGTAAAATAAAGATATTTAATCAACCTGTCATGAGAAGTAGCCGAGTCTCATGAATTTTTACTGGTACAGATGCTGTCTCGTTACCTCTCTGAAAAATGGAAGTTTCACAGTAGAAAGTAGCACTAACTGGTGTTTCTTAAGCAACCCAAGTTTCTGTATTGTGACGTTAAAATGTTGGGCAGCCAATCGTTTCAGAGATGTGTACCGATATAAATCAAATTATACATACCACTTTCCAAAACTAATGAATACAGTATTTAAATCATACTTAATATATTTGATGTCCATTACAGGGACCTAGTTATCTCACAAATATTCTCAGATTAATGTGCCTCACTCCATAGTGATCATCAGTTGAATATGGATGTTAATAATGAAAGTGGCCATAAGTTCAAAACTAAACTCAGTTGCATGAGAGTTGCATTTGAAACTTAAGACCGCTATTCTTATTTGCAGCCACACGTAACTGGTGATCGTTATGGTTCAAGGGCTACTTTAGATATAAAATAAATTGAACAGGACCAGTTTAAAAAATAAAATATTTTATACAAATCTTCTTTCAAACTCTACATAACTTTTATTCCTCATTCATTCTTTTTCATTCATTCAATTGTTCACTTCACTTATCTATTTTTCAACTCTGCCCTCACCCTTTTCGTCACACGCCCGCACGAAATACCAATAATAAATATTAATGCCACCACTGCTGCCAATACTCCCAGAAAGTAGGTTTTAGCAGGAGATTGTGTTATAGATTCATAAACTTCTTGAAATGATTCAGGAGGTGCAACCTAGAAAAATTAAAATAACCATTGAACTTCCATTACGATCAATCAAGTTTTATAATGCGTATAGACAAGTTTAGAAAGTAAATACAACACAGTAAAACTTTTGATTGGTGCGCAACAAGTTGAATGCTCCCACATTTTCAGAAATCAGAAAAAAAAAAAAACAGCCTTCTCAACTAAATGCTGTCTATATATGGACCAATCAAATAAAATAAAATTACCTGAGCAGCATATTCCCACATTTGTTTTCTATTTGATAATAATTTATGACATTTGGGATGTAATTTGGTTGGACTATCTTCTAATGCTGACAGCAAACATGACATTACTGAAAAATATACAATAAATGACTTCACAAGAGCACCAATGTGAATAAAACAGTTCTGTAAGAAAGCATTAAGCTCATATTGTCGTCACTAAATGACTTTTAATTAATGGGCTTGAATAAATAAACAAATTGGCAGCAGGTGACCACTGTATTATTATGGAGCTCTATCAGCAAGACAAACAACTTACTTTTTCCTTCACCAATCTCTACATTGCGACAAAACTGTACAATATCTAGTTGACAGGCATCATTTAATAAAGGATCTACATTGACATCTATCTGTCCTTCTTCTATTAAATATGCCACTTCCTACAATTTAAAGGATAGAAAGTAAAGTTCCAAACAAAGATCTCGTAGTACATCATTTTTTTTCTAGTCTCCACTGACCAACTTAGATCTTTTGGCAGTTAGTGACAGACACACAGGTTAGACAAAAACACTAACCTTCATACAGGCTTTATCAGATAGTTTTCTATCTAACAGATTTTTCTTTAAACATTCTTGTATTTGACCTGGTGAAGCTTCCTGATTTATTTTACCAATACCAGGTGATAATTTTTCATCTGTACAGTGTTTTAATATCTGAAAGTATAATTCCCAGTGTTAATTTATTATTTATACAACATAGGAGCTTTATAGGCATTGTCTGGGAAGACTGAAACAAAGCCTACTGGTGTGTTTTCAATATCTGCCAATCATTAGTACAAGTACCTTTGGCTTCAATGGCATTTTCAACATTTTTGTGATGTGATAAATTTTCAAGTTTCTGTAACACCAGAATTTATATTTTGTATTCCTTAAGAATAATCCATATAATGATGTAACAATTAAAACTGCTAGTCTGTAACTTACCTCTGATTTGCATATGATTGTTAATTGTGGTGCCATTCTGATATCAGATGCTGCCTCTTTCACTCTATCCCCTACTTCATATGCACATTCTTTAGATAAACGCTGAAAAAATTTCAAATTATTTTTGAATAATTAATAGTTTTTAATGGATATCAATATCAGTGTGAAATCTTCAAAAAGAGCAATCTGAATAATCCAACTGTTTCATTGTAGGATTTACAAGCATTATCTACCAAATTATGTTGTTTAAATTAATGTTTTTGACGAAACTAATATATCTTTTTACCTTGATAGCATATTGATGTTTTAAACAGTTTATGACTTTTCCTTCTAATGCCTCATCATTTTTAGCACTATCTAAAATACTTCTACAAAATTTAGGAATGTCATTTTGACACATTTTACTCAGTTGTGGATTGAGTCTATAATCTGAAAATTAAATGTAAATAATTTTTAATTTTGAGATTAGGTATTTAAAAGCATTATTATGATAAATAGAATGTTTGAGATAATATCAAGAAATATCAAGCCACCAAAGACAAAGTGTTCGGGCATGTAGTATCTTGAGTATGAGCCCACAAAAACACTAGATAAATTGGATGTACTGAGGTCACTTTGTACTTGATGTAACAAGCATGAAATTTCACATGGTCCGGTTTGTTTAAACTTCCATTTATTTGAGTTAAATATGTTGACTTGTTTATCACCATCAAGGAAAATTCTTCAGTATAAAATTATATTTACCTTTACTTTGAGATATTTGTCTTCTCAATATTACTGTACGACAAGTATTATCAAAATTAGCATCATTTTTAGATCTTTTTAAACATTCTAATATATCAACTTCAGTTTCTTTATCTGCACAATGTTCCTGAAAGAAAGGTGTTCAAACTTAGAGCCAATAATGTAAGACTAGATATTATGGATTAAAAATAATACAGTCATACAGTATATTAACAGAATATTTTTGGAAAAAAAAGTTCATTTTTCCACAAATTTTTCTCATTTTCTTTTCATCGTATTTTATATATGACATTGTACAGTCTCAGTTGTGCAAATTTATTAAATCAAGCTCTAGTTTCCAACAAAATTAAGTTCCTGATAAATCTTAGATTAAGACCAAAGCGAACACTTATTCTCGAAAACACGCCACTGCCCAGTTGCTTGACAAAGGCGTATCAAAGGGGGACATAGAACTGAGGCTAGATTGTCTCTATTATGCAAACTCACAGAAAAGCAAAATATGAACAAACCTCAATCATTCTTTTACAGGCTGTAGCTAAACCATAATCAGCAATAGCAAACTGATCTCTCTACAATATACAATATAACTTACTTGTTTCTCTTCAACAAATTTATATAACTAATATAACTCATACTTTACAATAAAATTAAGAACTTATTCTCAGACCACAGAGAGCTCATCATTAATTATAAGCAAAATGTGATTCTGTAAACAGTGCAGTTGACCAGTATTATCACACTTTTATATATCTTTCAAAACTCAGTTTTATCATGTTAGTGTTTAGATCATACCTGTCTTTTAAACATTATTTTATGACATGAATCTGATAATTGTTGTTGGTGCCGTTTTAAACATTTGATAACCTGAAAAAAGAAACAACTGTGATTGGAAATGAAAGCAAACGAAAATCATAGATAACAAAATCAACTCAAATCACCAAGACATTGGATTATTGAAAAATTTGTTAAAAATAGGGCATGGACTTCACAATGTATTGGGTAAATTGATTAAAGAAATTCTTGACCCATTTTCGAGATGTTCAATAAGTTTAACTGTGAGAGTGCTCACTATTTGCAAAATATTAAATCTGTATGTCAGTTGGGGTAATCAAGTTTTAAATTGCTATAACAATCAAATAAATTTTACTATACCTCAGAATTTCCAGCCTGCACATCTTTACAGAAATTTAAAACATCACTTTTACATTTTTCACTGAGGACAGGATCTAGTGTTATACTCTCTTCCTAGAATAATAATAATTTACATGTAATAACAACAATAATAATAACAATTTACATGTAATATAATAATAACAATTTACATATAATAATATAGTAACAATTTAGTGTAATAATAACAATGTAGTAACAATTTACATGTAATAATAACAATATAGTAACAATTTTTGTGTAATAATAACAATTTACGTGTAGTAATAATAATAATAATTTACATGTGATAATAACAATTTACATGTAATAACAACAAAAAGTATTATTATGTCAAAAGAGTTGATTATCAAATTCAAATTATTTACCCTTTGTAATAACTCCACTCTCAACTGTTTACGGCATTTTTTACTAATACGTTGAGTTTTATCAAATAATGTATCATTTCTGACATGTTCACTCAGACAGCTTACAACTTCAAATCTGGAAATACATATACCATATAATTCTGAATATAGTGTGCAAGCATGTGAAACTTCACTTACTCAAGAAGGGAACAGTGCTCAATACATCAATTGAAGAGCGGTATAGAAAAACAGAACCATAAAAAACATGTTGTTACTCAGAGTTTCATGCTATGCGATCTTCAGACAACTGACCTATTTTCAGTCTGTGTCCCTACTAAAGTAGAATTTATTCTCATGTCTACACTTCAAGATAAGTAAGGAACATTTGTTTAAAGAAGCTATCTTTTTGTATTTGAGTTTTCAAAGAATAGTTACTTACTTTGTTTTTTTCCTTTCACAATATTTTTTGACATCAGCCTGACAGGACTCTTTAAATTTATGATTGAATTTGAAATGTTTTAATGATATCTAAAAAAGAAATGTTATTATTGTAATAGTGTTATCAAAATTTACCATCAAGGGCCTCCATTTATCTAGAAAATACAATGCAATCGAGTGTAACTCGTATCTTTTGACATCAGATTGGGCTAATGAAGACAGGTAATGCCCAACAGTGTGCAATGAGGCAAGATACAATACGATATGAATTTGGAAATACAATACCATTTGATATGAATTTGGAAATACAATACCATTTGATTTTAATTTGAAAGTTCCAACAAGCAAAGAATGGTCCCTATGGTAGTTATCTTATCACTATGAATCAAATATTAACTGTTATTATTTTATGACTACTATATTGTCCTTTGATAAGATATAAAATGCCTCGTATCAAAATATTCAATAATGTCCACTACGATTAGAATATTCTAACTTACAAGTTGATGATGTTCAATTCCAGCTGCACATTTTGAATCCATCTTTGAATTCTGTTTATGTTCAATCAAACATTCTAAAACATCTGCTGGTTCAGAATCTTGCTCTAATAAATTCTAGAATTAAATCCATCAACATAATACAATTGATTGCTTTAACATTTCACTTTATGACACAAATTGTGAATTTTTTAAAGGAAATGATCATTCAAAAAAGTTCTGTGGTTAGTCCCATCGTGATGGTACAACATATGACCATCTCTAATTAACCCTTAATGGCATTCTTGACAATCAAAATGGCTTCAAGTATCACAGAGACAGTCCATTGCCCATGAACAGAAGCAATTCCATTCGCTGCTAACAACAGTACGGAAAAGATACAAAAAAAAACCAATAAATTATGCAGTGTGACGGTACAAATAGCCAGTGCATTTAAAAAATAGCACACCTACAATTACATGAAATTCTATTTATACTTTGAACCTAACCCACTTTTTCATCCAATCAGCACTGGCTGAGTAAGTGGAAAATTAATGAATAAGAATTTCGAAATCACGTGACATTTGACTGACAGCTAGAGATAGGTTCTAAGTAAGTTAGATCATATAAAGTAAAATTTTTGTAGTTTAAAAGTTGGCGCTGTCAATGTGATCTCTACAACATGTCACAACAGTATAGATCAATATAAAAAGGATCAACTTACATTGCAGAAGTTTTTAATCATTGGAGTACAAGCTTTCATAATTTTAGTGTCAATTGTATAATCTTCATCTTCATCTTCTGTTAATTCCCCTATCTGTTTTTTACATTCTTCATTTTGTATTTCATCATAGTTATCTTGTAGACATACCATTTCCTACAAACACATATGAAGTTGCATCAATATCGTATAAAAACTGCAACTTCTATCGTCATTAAAAGAAATTTGGAGAGATGGACCGATGAAGGACAGGGGTTACTGCAATATATCCACATTTCCAAATTAACTGATTATAAGGCTCTAACTGGGTGTATGAACTGTGAAGAATAAACTAAAGCTAGGGAACAGCCCAAATTGTAGATTGGGATAATAAAACAGGATAAGTCAGTTATTCTTTAACCAGAAACTAAAGTCTGTTGTTACCTAGAGTCTCAGTGTGATCTACACTGGCTCTTACAATAATTAAATTACAGAACACAATTTCCTTGGTTTTATTCTACACAAAATAACCTAAGGATAGTATACCTTCAAAATGTGTCGCTTGAGGTTTTTTTCCTACAATAATGCATAAGCTATGTCTAAGTCAAAAGTTACATTTCAAAACACATAAAAGAGAAAATAAGCCTTACCTCTCCATGTTCCAAATCAGCTTTATCAGAACAAAGTCTACCCAGATCTTTTAGACAGCTTTCTTCAATCTCTGGAGCTAAATCAACACTTTTAGCTCTCTCTCTCATTACTCTACGAACTTCATGTCTACATCCTCGTGTTACCTATAAAAAGTTCACATCCCTGTTTCAATATTTGTCATAGTTAAGGATTTTGAAACGAAAAAATGTCAATTTATTAAATTTGCTTTAAGTTCTGAGAAGCTTGGGCCCTTGAAATCTATAATCTCTTTATCTAAACAATATGATTAGTTAACATTATTTTATAAAAAAAATAAATAAATATTAGTGAGTCTTAGCTGTTGAACTAAATACTGAAATAGCAGATTAAACCTAGGAAATAAATTAACATTTGAATTGAATCACTACTACTACAGTCTCATTCCAACCAATTCTACTTTCTATCCCTGGATTAACATAAACTTGACTTTACCATAAAGTAAGGACTTTATAATTTATATTTATAAATGAGATATAAGAGGGTGGTGTATTGTAGTAAAATAAAGAAATATCTGAGTAAACACCAAAGACAATCAACAAGGTAAAGAAATTATCTGGATAACTAAGAAATCATGGAAAACAGTTTGAAACTAGGGACCCATTGGTAATTCTAAGACCAGTAAATTTCAAGGATTTCAATTTTCAAACCTTGATCTTTTTCTGTTGTAATTTACGATATAAACAGGCAAATATAATTTTAGGTTTTTGTGGATGTTCGTTAGATGAAACCCACCAAGTTCCTGGCATCTTACAATACTTCTTGGCAAACTTACGACATTTTCTATACAGTTTAGCATCTAATCTTAAATAGTAAAATATTTGATTCAACCCAGTAACTTATTTTTGATAATGAATTTGACAAACACAACTGGGATTTAAGGGAAATAGATGTCTATTTATTTAGTTTATGAGTTCATTTATCTCCCTTTATACATCATACCACATTATTTATATTTACAAATACCCAACCTTAATTACCAGCAGCTATAAAGTTTATTTGAAGGAAAGGAAAGAAATTACAAAGGAAAATAAACAAAAGCCCAACATTTCTGTTTGAATTTAAATACCTACAAAAATTATTGCCAAATAATCAATAGTCAACTCTCTCTATAATAGTATATATATTATTGATAGAAACAGATACCTCCTTAAAATTCTCCTCATTGGAAATCATTTATAAAATATAATTTCCAAAGAGACGAATTAAATTCAAAGAAAAATGTTGGACATTTGATCAGAAATAAAAGGTACCTGGTTGTTTTCTGATTTATGATGTTCTTTTATATGACGATATAAGCAGGGTAAAACCATGGGATTGGGTTCAGGGCCGGCATTTTTGGGATCAAACCAGTTGACATCAAAGTTACAAAATTTCTTGGCATCCTTTCTACATGCTTTAAATAAATGACTATCTAATCTGTAATTCAGAAAATTGATTGAAAAATAAGTGTGTTGAATATTTCAAGAGAAAAAAAGCTTTGTCCCAAGCGGAAAATAATATTTACGTGATATTCTAAAACTTAAAAACAAAAATGAAACCAGTGTAAAAACCAGGAAAAAATTACCCATATTCCAACGAAAAAAAAATATAGTAAATCTTATCCATAAAATTGTGATAAATTATTCTTCATATACAGTGATTCCTAGAGTCATCCCCGTGTCAGCTTTCACCCCTTATCAACAATTGATGTATTGAGCACTATTTTAACAGTGAAAATATTTTATTATTGTATAACAAAGGTAGCTTTAATATAATGCACAGTCATGCACATTGTCCAACAATTAAAAATGACATGACATATGTAGTTTTAGTTTACACTAGCTTATGGTTTACTTCAATGTAGTATTTGTCTTGCATACATTTAGCTTATCATCACTAATCTGTGTTCCTTTCTATACTGAGTGCTTTGATATCAATAGATAACTGAAAAACAGGCCAAAAATTCCAGAAAGCTAATTCATATAAAATGTGAACAAAGACTGATACTGCCCAGTAAAAGTAGATATTTTAAAATTCCTAGGCCTACCTGAAATCTCGAACAATGAAATACTGTATTTCTATCAATCTCTCTTCACATTTATTGGTCATTTCATCATCATCTATATTTTCCATTAAACAATTCATGATACTGTAAACAATAATTCAATTTAATCTTTGAAGGGTATTTGAAGTAGACAGAAAATATGATAAATAAGATAGTTATTCTAGATAATGATACTACTACTTCCTTTAATTTTAGCAACTTTTCAATTCAAATAAATCTAAGGAGTAGCACACACAAAATACACACTGATTTACCTTCCATCATCCTCTTCATCACTACATAGTGTTTTTATTACTGGTTTACACGCTTTTAATATTGCTTTATCTATACTGATATCACTGGCTACATCAGCTTCTTCAATCAGTGTTCGTAACTACAAATAAAACATTGTATCATAACAACACAAAGAGATTCAAGACAATGATGGATATCACTGCACCAAGCGATATTGAAAACCCATTAAGAGGCGCTGGCACAGGGTTAAAGCACTGTTTACAACTATTTTGGTGTTAATATTTAGTGAAAAAAGCAGAAGAAAGTAATTTGGAAAGATTATTGTACATTTTAGATCTTTGACATAAGATAAAAGAAATATGGAATTCAAAAATAACTTACTGCAGCTTTGCACTCTGTTCCCATGAGTTCCTGATTGTTGGCATTATTTTTTACATTAGCTAGAGACATCAAACAATGTATAGTTTGACCATTGATTCCTCTGTCCGAACAATGCTCATCTATTTCATTTTTACAACCAACCAGTATGTCAGGGTTAATATTAAAATCTTCCATAATATTACTTCTAACTTGCTTCATTTCCTCAATACAATCACTTTTAACATGTACATCTAAAACAGATCAAAATAAATTACTTTAAGAGATCAATTCATTTTTTTCTATATTCAGAATACAAAAAAAATTCTTCAAATTTTGCATCTCATATTTTGACAAACAGATTTAAGGAAATTTCACAGAGGTAGCTCAGTTTCAAAATTGTTCATCATTCCTAAGCCAGATGTAGAGTCCTGCTTGTCCTCTGATCAGTGTAAGCAATAATTCGGTTTGTGTTTTTGACTTTTTTTTGCCAACAACATGTCAAACCATTTTGATATCTTCTTACCTTTTTTTACTGCAGTTTCTAAACACAGTAATATGGTAGCTCGTTTTAGATCATGGTTACTGCTCTCTGTTCCCGAACAATCATTTTTCTCAATATCATCGCGACATGCTATGTAAAATATTTTATCAATTTTAACATCTTCTGCTATTAGCCTCTGACGTAATTCTAGCCTTTCTCTGCACTGTAATAATATATCAAAACTTGAAGGAATTTGGAAGTCACTGATGGAGCTTAGTTTATTGTTTTTATGGTCGTCTTCTGAACAAGTTCTAAACATTTTCATTAAGTCAAGTGCAATAACTAAATTTTACCAAATTTGAACAGACAGATGGACCAAGGAAAGACCTGGGCAATTTCAACAAATGTCAACATTTCCATCTGAATAATGGGCTGATGTGATAACAAACAGCTAGTACTAAGTTTATCAGCTGGTAAAGCAAATCATTATGCACGGTGCAACCAATTAACATGACAAGAAAATATTTTCATAGAATAAAAGTAAGCAAAAAAATTACCTTAGTGCTCATTTCTTTACTGGATAAGTGTAAATATAAACAATCATAAATTTTGCCTCCACCAGAAATTATATCCTTACAGAAATGTTCTCGGTCTTCGTGACAAGCATAATATAATTTTCTATCCAGATGAAAATCATCTGACTGCAATTCTAATGTACGAAGCAATTGCTTTTTGCATGGTTTTTCTAAAGCATCACTTTTTCTAGACATATGTTTGGCTAAACAGTCAATTGTCTTTCCTTGATTGTGCATCGCCTGAAACATATATAAATAAAAAAAAATCTTAGGCCGCCATCTTTCAACTACATCATAACATGACTAAAAATCACCAAGAATGGAGATTATTATGAAAATATGAAAAGACTAACAAACTGTGTCACGCAAAGAGGTCTGAATTCAATACATAATCCCCTTTCATTTAGATTTGTATACAAACTCTGAGTTAGATCACTTTGACATAGGACTCAAGTAAGTTAACATGCAAGACTATTTGTCCTGATGAGGATTTAATATCTGAAAGACCTGTCAACAAGTGACAAATAAAGATACCGGGATCCATATTATACAAAAATTAAAAGTCAAAAATCTTTCCTCTGCTTTCAATTTTAATGAGACAAATTTTTTCAAATAAACAATGCTTCTTCAGGCCAAGATATGACTTCCAAGATAGACAATCTTGAGTTTTTTCCCTTTAATATGTAAAGCACTGAATTGATAATGAAACTAAATTCAAAATAAATTTATTTGGTGATTGACCAATCAGATGACTGAACATCATCATCAATCATCATCAAGATAAATTGTCAAGATTAAGGCCCAAGGTCAGTAAAGATTTTGCACTTACTTCATTTTCAAAACCAGAATCCAGTCTTCCACAATGGTACTTTTCAATATCATTTTTACAATGACCAACAAATTTATGAACTAAACGATAATCACTGAATACTATGGTAGCCATCTTGGCTAAATATTGTTGACAAGTTTTAGCAGTAACATTTTCAATATTTTCTATTAAACATGGTATAACAAATCCTGTTTCTGCACCATTCTTTAATTCTCTACATTCATCTATCTGAAACATAAGATTTCCAAATATAAATAGTAGGTAGTAATTTTCCATAATATTGTTTATATTTCTAATTTTAAGTCAGGATTTACTGACAAGGTTCAACTAAAAAAGAGGAAAATTAAAAAAAAAAGATATGGCTAGAATTATGAGCACAGCATAACTCCAGTTACTGTAATGATTATACACAAAACTTCAAATAAAATATTTACTTTATTTATGTCTGAATCACAAACTTCTTTACTGGCTAAATCAAATCGACTATCCATAGTGAGGTTTCTCTTATACACCCATAGAACCTACAAAAAATAACACAGAAGAGATTATATTATGAGTCAACTATGTCGAAGAGAAATAAAATAACGAGAAAATAACTATTTCCATTCAACAAATTGCAACTATTTAAATAGCATAAGTGAGACACTTAATACTATCTTAATGCAAGAAAAAAGGTGTGTCTGTTTACAATATGTATTTTTAAAAAAATATTGGCTTAATAATGTTGATGCTACTTCAGACCATATTGTCTAACCAGCAGAGATCTTCCTTTCAATGTACCTGCAATCTTTTAACTTAAGAAAACTGTACTACTTACATGTTGGCATGGTACTGAAACAGATTGCTCCATCTAAAATGAAAAGTTGATGAAGAATTTTTAAATAATGTGGGGCAAATAAAAAAGAATCTTATTGAAACCAAAGCTTAGTTACAGTTATAAAGAATATCACAATCATGATAGACTCTTAAAAGATTCTTGGCGTTGCCACTAAAGATTACAATATATTTCAATTTATTTAATTTAACCAATTACTTTTTGTGAACCAGTTACACATTGGACCTACCTGCAAGTCACTCTGCAAACAATCAAGAATAGCGAAGTTGTTTTGTTTGGTGTGACAATATTTTTGAACATCTTCTTGACATTCAGGCATTTCACTTATTTTCATCTGATGCACACCTTTCCTTCTCCCGGCACCTCCCTTCTTGATGACTTGTTGAGCGTTTGGATTAAATTTAAAACTTGTAAAATCCTTGGCACCATAGCCATTCCCAGCTTCATTAGGCCTATTTCTGCTGTTCAGGTTTTTCATGCCCATATTATCTTTGTTTAATAGACCAATGTTATTTATATTATTTACAGGGGGTGCACGCTTTTCCGTAAGTGTATCCTTTTCTAAGGTACCTGCAATTCGTCCATCACAAAAATTTACAAAGCCAAAAAGCATGAATAGAAGAAAATTATAAACGACACGTCGTCTGAAGGCAGCCATCTTGATGTAAATGACAGCTGTAATATTCGTACGCCAGGATGTCAAAATAAAAATTTATAAGAAGCTAGCTTTAAATCAATATCTTGTTTTACAAAGTTCTGAACTGTTTTCATCGAGCAATGAAGACTATGTTATTGTGGAACAGTTTCATTTTTGGAATTATAGCTAAAGGGTCAACCGTACTATTTCTCTGTCAAAGTTATTTGCCGGAAATAATTCTTTGATCGATACTTAAAGTAACTCACCCATTTAGAGAGTAAAAAGTATAGTGGAGAAAGTTAACTCTTAGGTTCTTAGGTTTACGAACTTCTGCCCTGTATCATTTAAATTAATTGAGGCGGATGACATCATACAAGGTGCAATGATAGATTTTGAGTAACGTTAGAGTCGATGTGTTGGGCACAAAACCGACTTTAGAAGTTGCAAGAACGGAGGGTAAAGTCAATGTGTAAAGCCAACTATGGCTACTCACGTCTCACTGACACTGACTCTACTCAGCAGTTTTCAATAGTAGGACAAACTACCCTACCAAACAACAGATACCGAAATGCATTCTCAGTAACTAGCCTACAGTGCTACAAGCGATGAATAAGTTATCAGAGGTTCTTTAAAGTGTCTCGGTAATCAAAACTGATCCTAGATGTCATTGAATGGTCTCACTTTGATATTGAGGATCTATTAGTTACACTTGTCTCCTAAATACAAAATGTTCACATGTGATATTTGTGGAAAGGAGTTCTCAAGAAAATACAGTTTAAGAATACATCTTATGACTCATTCAAAAAAGAAAAATGTGAAATGCTGTATACCATCTTGTGTAAAACTATTCCATACTGTTGTTAGTCGAAATTCACACTTACTAACTCATCCAGAATATGCCAAATATGTTAGTAAAAAGATAAAGTGTCCATCTTGCCTTAAAACTTTTTCAAAACAGTCTCAATTAACAAGTCACTTGGCGGTTCATTCTAGCGCCAGAGATTTCCAGTGTCCGGATTGTGGTAAAACATTTAAACGTAGAAGTAATTTATATTACCACGTTCAAATTCATTCAGGAGAAGGAAAAGACTTCCAGTGTCAAAAATGTTCAAAGGCTTTCAGAAGAAGATATGAGTTAATTGTTCATGGAAGAACTCATACTGGAGAAAAGAACTTTTCTTGTGAAACTTGTGGTGCTGGATTTATTACTAATTCAGTGCTGAGAAAGCATATACTTAAACATCATACACAGAATAGACCTACATTTAACTGTGAATTGTGTTCTAAATCATATAAACTAAAAAAATCACTTATTGATCATATGCATAAACACAATAATGACTTTCTACAAACCTGTCCTGCGAAAGGGTGTGATAAAATTTTTAAAACCAAACGTGCTCTTACATCTCACCAAAGTTTACACCATTCTAAATCAAATGAAAAAACCACCTGTACAATATGTAATAAAAACTGCTTAACTAAGTCGAAATTGGTTGAACATATGAGGCATCATACGGGAAAAAGACCATTCGCATGCACTGAAGAAGGATGCGATAAAGCGTTTTCCACTAAAACAGGTCTTCAGCGTCATTTGTTCCTTCATACAGGAGTAAAGCCTTATGTGTGTCTGAAATGTAATAAAGAGTTTGCTTTTGCTAGTCATTATAATAGTCATGTCCGAAGCCACTTTACCATTGAGAAATATAAGTGCCGATTATGCCTGGACCATGTGAATACGAAAATGTCAACTGCAAAGATCCACATTCTACAGGTCCATTTAGGAATTAAGTGGGAACCTAAAATTTTCAAACGAGTTAACATTAAAATTAATGAAAAAATTAATGGAGCCATCGAAAAAATTCTTGTGAATACTAATGAAGATATAAAAGAAATGCCATCGTTACTTATTGAAAAAGGAAGTACTGAAGTTTTACAAAAAGTTATGTCCAAACAGTTTAGTATACCTGACATTGAAGTGAGAGAAGACCATGATTTGGGGCAACTACCAATATCATTCGTAGGTCAAGATGAAAATTCTGTGGATCAGAAACCAGTAAATCAAGATGAAGCAAATACCATTCCACTACTCCATTCCATTCAATTTCCAAATGTAATTGATTCTGTGGATATTAAAACAGAGTCTGCAGATGAACGGCCACCAGACCAGATATTGAGCTCTTATGACGATACTGTTACTGGTACTTTAAATCCAGAATCAAGTATTTCATCTTTTCTTCAGGATCCAAACTTAATTCAAAATCTACCAATGATTACAAACGGTCAACAGATTTGTATTTATGATCCGATGACTAAAGAACAAGTAGTTTTATCCAGTACTGTAAGTTCAGATAATGGACTAGAAACCCTAGAAATCCAGCCTGTTCATTGCATTAAGGAGCAAGCCCTAGAAGAAGGTCAGCAAAGTTCTTCAGACCAATTTATGAATGAAGATAGAGAGGACCTTTGGAAAGATCATGTAAATTATACCAATAATGAAAATTCATTGGAATCTAACACTCTGACTACAGTTTATATCAAAAATGAAGCTCTAGAAACTAATGAAGCTGATATTTCTGATGAATGTTCAGTTGAGTTAGTGATCACTGACAAGGACAGTGCTGACAGACAATCAGAACATATCTCTATCCCTGTACCGTCTCTTAGACTGGGGGACAACATTCAGGTATTCCACATCCAACATCCCACTCGTGGAACAATCAAATTTGCAAAACTTTCAAATGCAGTCAAAGGAAAGGATGAAACCTCCAAGGAAAAAGCAAATGAAACGATTGTTTTCCTTGAAGATGATGAAAACATAATAAACAAGAATTTAAGTAATTGTGAAGTGACTAGAATCTGTATTAAAAATGAGATGGAATTTCTTAAAGTGATGAATAGCATGAAAATAACATATGATTATTTACATGATGTTACACATAAATTTGAGTGTAGTGACTGTGGAAGTTTTTTCTGGGACACTGCAGCTTTAAATAAGCATATGAACACCCACAGTGTTGAAGATATGAAAGTGAATGGTGTCATGCATTCTGGTGATAAATCTACCATAAAGAATTCAAAGTGGAAATGTGGAAATGTCATGAACACCTGTGCTCAATGCAATAAACAGTTTTTATCATATTCAGATCTCGATTCAGATACTCAATCACAGTGTTCAGAAAAACCTTACCATTGCCCTACCTGTAAAGCAAGTCATAAAACGAGAGAAACACTTCATGATCACAATCAAGCAGAACCAATACAGGTGTATGAATGTTCTCTTTGCTTGAAAATTCTCAAGTCTAGGAGATCTGTGTTGGCACATATGAAAAATCATGAAAGTGAACATGAAGAATTTGTATGTAGCTATCCAGATTGCAATAAGAAATTTAAACACAGGAGAAATATGAACTTCCATGAGAGACTACATGCTGACACAAGGCCCTACCAATGTGACCAGTGTGATAAGTCTTTTATAGCTCGATTTCAACTGAACGCTCATATGAAGAAACACTGGGGTGGGAAAAGTTATGTGTGCACAGAACCAGGTTGTGAAGCTGTTCTCACCACTAGAACTGGCTACCTCAGGCATATGATAATACATAGTGGAGAGAAAAAATTTATTTGCAAGGTTTGCAATCATGCTTTTGCATTTGTTGGTCATCTCAATACTCACATGTTAACTCATACAGGGGAAAAAAAGTTCATGTGTTCAAATTGTGGTAAGGGATTTACAAGATCAACTGTGCTTAAAAGACACGTAGAGAAGAAAATATGTTATCCATTACTTGATAAATAGCCTTCAAGCTTTTACCTATGTGGAAAAAATGACATATTTTCTTTTACCAGTCCACTTTTCATAATAGAAATTCAACATCTTGTTCATCTACAATAAAATAAAAACATTCTGGTGTGGCATTCTCCTTACTTCACGCTTGATTTATAATTGGTGTCTTTTATGTCTTAAGTTATTTTATCGCAGATCTCAGTGTTAAATTTGAATTTTGATTAGCTGGAAACTGACTAATAATGGCTGTAGTTTTGATGGGTAAAGAATTCAGTGATGGTAAAAACAGGTTAAGATAATGAAATGTAGTTTGATTTTCAATGTCTTGTCTTCTATCATTTATTCAAATTAATTCTATCTCAGCTATTTTTCACTATTGTGCCTTTATTTTCAAAATTTATATTGTTATGAATATATAGTAAAGATTTATCTATTATAGATGTTATAGGCCTCAATAATTCAAAATAAAAACTTATTTTGCCTAATTGCAACACAAATTCTTACTGTGGCCTATTGTTAGGGATATTTAACTCTGGTGTATCTCACGCATATATTTTCAAGAAAGGCAACAAAAGGGCTTTACAAATATAGATCTTATATTAATATTTTTCTAGATCTAAGATAAAAAACATATGGCAGATATTCTGTGTTTCGTAAGGATATGTTTCAGCCAATGGCTGATTGAAATCAAGGCGCAGATGTGCCATTTTTGGGGGTTGATTTTAGGCTTGAATATATATAAATAGTCTTCAAATGTACTAGAATGTATGAATATCACATAATTCCTTTAAAGATACTTCAAACAAGGAATTTACTCACTATTTCTATATATGTCTTTTCTTTATATCATAGAGTATCTTAAATTGACGAGTTGATCATTTTAAAAGATAAAAAAAAATTCCAATTTCTGAGTATGATTGGTCGAAAAATGGCTTACCTGTCCCTTTAATGAATCATATATTAATTTGTTTTGAATTGATTCCTTCAAAATAATTTGATGCTGGGAGATAAATTTGAAACCCTTGGAAAATAAGGGAAAATATAGGCTGTCCTTTCATATAGAAAATGGATCAAGGAAAACTTTAAATAAATTATCAACACAATATGTTAGTTGCATTTAATATTAAATAATCATTCAAAATAAATCACATACATGTACATTCATTCAATATAAAAATTTAAAACATGTTTAATATGCAATTATAATGCCAGATGGTGGATACATAATTTGAATTGAATTTTTTATTTTACACTTTATTCTCTATACTGATTTTCCTTTCTTGTTAGGTTATGATAGTTTCCCCTCCAAACTGCTGTTAACTGTACAACATTGTATCTTTTTTATGCAAAAGTTTAAATATTATTTATTTCATAACTGTAACAATATCTGTTATATCCAGTATATGCCATTATTTATTATGGAATTTTATTATTATTCACAACACACCACCAACATAAACTGGTGAGATTTCCTTTTACACCATTTAGTCTGTTCTCATTGTATATCTTTGTCAGCTAATAACAGTAATCTGAACCATATGTTCTTTCAATATAGTACAGAAAAAATATGGTCATAGTTTATGATTTAACAGTTACAAATATTGATTTTCCTAATAGAATGATAACTTTTGATGCTATAATTCAGAATGTAGGGCAGAGTATAAAATTATCCATGCTACCTGAAAAAAAATATAAACAAATATGATTATATTGTGGCCTGAAAATTAGATATTTGTGGGCACACTGTCTGAATTATGGCATTGAGTTGATGTGATTAGTGCTCAAATGAGTAATCAAATAAGAACTATCACCCTTGACAAATAGTATCTTCTGAATAAAGAACATCGAAATTTGATGCTGTGTGGTTGACTATTGGGCAAATGCTAAAGACTTAATGTATATTCATACCATAAAAGAGGAAAACGAGGTCATTAACCCTTCCTTTAAGATTTCTGAGGAACCACCATATTCTTCTTCATCAACATTTTGAAATGTACTATAATACAGGTACACTATAGCCACATTTATTAAAAAGAATCTGAAAATAATATAATAAACATCTTTTGAATTCTAATCTTGCAAGAGTTAGTTCCCTTTCCACTCTGATAAAATCAGTCAATATGAGTTATTTTGATGCATTGTCAATAATGGCAGCCTTAGTTTTGCCAATCTCATCATATATGCAATGGAAGAAAAGATCACCATTATTTTACTGAATTACCATTATTTTACTGAATTACGGCTAATAAGAAATGGAGAAAACACAGCAAATCCACGAGTTTCAGGAAATCATTCGACTTTCCATATTTATCTGCAGTAATAAATCACAAGGAAAATAAATAAAACAAAAAAGCATGATGATAAGAACTTGGTCTATGGCCACATTACAATATTCATAGAACTGTTTTATTGATCTTTTCAGTACCAGTACAGCATTTCAATACTTACAATGCTAAACCTAAAAAGCCTTTCATTGCAACAATTCCCCATATTAACCCTAATACAACACCGAGTATCTGTCTTAACCAATATATTACATCTAGAAAATCATCCTGAAATGATAAAAAAAAAAAAATACACCCTTTAGATGAATCATAACAAAATAGTCTATTTTCAACCCTGCTTCGTACAACTCTTCAAGTTAGTTCAACTTTCAAGCATTGATGGGGCCATTGGGGGCCTAAGTGGAACAGGCTCATATAAGCTCACTTATAGGGCTTTGGACTCTCAAATAATTAAGAAAAAAAATCTGCAAACAAAAACAATTGTTTCTTCAAGACCCGTCGGCCCTTCTGAGACGGGCGACGGGTCTTGTAGAACTACCTCAACAAAAATATGACATATAAACAAACCTTTTCCACCCAAACAGAGCCGGCAGTGAGTGCCTTTGAGAAAATCTCCATATTTGAGTCACCACACTCGGTGGCCTTTTGAGCTTCTTTCCTTGGAGCCATTCTATATTCGTCAGATTATCAAGTTCGGTGAGAAATAAATCTGCATTCGACAAAATGATCAGTTATTAAATTTTTTCATGTGGCAAAAACGCCATTTTCTGCTCTGCGCATGTCAGAATATCCTTTTTACCTCCTCTGCCAGAAAGCTATTTAGGGGAATTAACTCTTATAAGAATGAAAGTATATCAGACCACACTAAATGTCGCCAATAAATTTCTGACTTTTGTTGGATTGTTATTAACCGAATGTCTTTACTGACACCGCCTCCCTAAAGTTGACCGAACAGATATCATAACGACTTTTCCATAAGTTTCAAGTTGGAAATCCTTAACGAGAATTTTAAAATTTTAGCAGTCTTTGTTCTCGAGTTTTTTTCAACCAAAAAGCCTTGAATAATAACTAGGCCTCCAAGATATGTTTAAAGTAATATTGAATATGTTCAGGAGGAGCAGAATATTAAAATTGGTTGTTTGTTGTGTTTTCTATCTTACATACCGTATCTCATTTGATAATAAATATGTTATCTCGGTCACCTGTTGTACAGATAGTTCTGGGTACACTACAAATCACAGGTAGGCTTTAACTGTCGAATATTGTCAAATATTTCACCAAGAAAACAAATTACTCATAACCTGTGTAAGAAACTAATTTATGTGTCATTTCCCATTAGCCAAGTGTCATCTCACGGATTTTTAGCTATTATTACGCAGAAATATAACTAAAATAACCAACGAGGATTATGGTTATACAATGAATAGAAATATACGAAAAGGAAGTTATAATTAGCCACGGAGGACATAACCCTATATTTGAACAATTGTACGATTATGGTTTATTTTCAATTCTAGGTAAGCTTATTGAAAATACCGACAGGACTAAAGCAAAGAAGAAAAACCATGGAATCGAGACAGTTATTCCTACTGATATTGCTGGTAGATACGGGGTATGGTTTAGGAGGAGGGTGTATATTAGATGGGCTAGGTGAGGAGTATTCGCCCGAAGCAACAGCGTTAAGATACAAAGAGAAGATATTTATCGGATCTGGTCCAGTCCAAGGAGTCCATCTCTCTCTTGCCGGTACTAATCAGATGAGAATCACGTGGTTAAATCCAACCCCATTTCAAAATAAAACTTTCAAACCAATGTGCTATTTTGGAAATCAACCTAGTAACACAAGTGTAGAATCGTATGGTAAAGCATACAGTTATCCTGATGGTATGTTTGATCTGACTCTGAACAGTGCTCTGCTGGACCTTGGAGCTTTGACTGAAGAAATGGTGTTCTACAGATGCGGTGATTCTCAAGACGGTTTCTTCAGTCCAATTTACAACTTTACTTTACAGTCTACAAACATCACCAACAGTCGCAAGTCTTTAAGGTTTAAATCCATGAATAGGTTTTCCAAACTAAGTAATCCATTCGATCCAATATTCGATCCAGCAGAACCACTGATAGCCGTGATCGGAGACCATGGGGTAAAGCGAGGTTCAGACACAGCTACCAGTATTGCTGGACATGTGAAAAATGATGATGTTCAGTTGATTGTCCATGTTGGGGATATTTCTTACGCTGACAAATACGGAAGCAATAACAGCTATATTTGGGTGAGCTACATGAACATGCAAGAACCAGCCACATCTTTGGTGCCTTATATGACAACTGTCGGGAATCACGAGAGACAATTCCAATTTGCTGCTTATCTCAACTGGTTAGGTTACTCCATGCCAACGTCTGGTAGTGGCTCTAATTTCTGGTATTCATTTGATTATATGGGTATTCATTTTGTGGCATATTCATCCGAACACGATCTGACTCCGAACTCAACCCAACATACGTGGATGGCACAGGATCTAGTGAAAGCAAACGGAAATCGGGAAACTGTTCCTTGGATCATTGTATATGGACATCGACCACTCTATTGTACTTCCTTGATATGTGCTGAAAGATGCCTTGATGAAGCTCCTGTATTTAGAGCAGATCTTGAAGATCTTCTGTATCAGCAACACGTCGACGTAGTGTTTCATGGGCACAATCATCAATATGAACGATCGTATCCAGTATACAAAGAAAAGGCTGTACAGAAAGATTACATCAATCCTAAAGCACCCGTTTATATCGTTGATGGAGCCGCAGGTGAGTTTTTTCCCTCCTATGGTCTTATGGTGATAGTTGCTTGGTTTAGTGAACTAATGGTGATCGTGGGTTCTTATCATGTGCTAAAGTGACCTTGAGTAAGTCATCATTTCACGTTGTAAATAGGGCAATTCCGGGATGATGCTTGGATCAAGAGGATTGGCTATTGGCGAAATATTACCCAGGTCTTGTATGAGAATACTTTTGACTAATAACGTTCTGTCCGAAATGAACCGAAGAAAAGAATTCACGACCTTTGATGGTGCAGTGTGTTTTAACAAATATTGAATATACTTTTCAAAAGTAATATTTATCACTGGTCATTATCAATACATGTACTATAATTTGTTATTGCAGGTAATCCTGAACTGAATGATCCTTCTTTTAGACCAGGTGTTGAATGGAGAGCTTTTGATGACCCCACCTTCTATACAGGCTATGTTTTGATGCAGCCATCTCCAACAGAATTAAAGTTTCAATATATCAACAGCAATAAAAAGGAAGTAGTGGACCAATTTGTGATCAGTAGAACCAATTGACAATTAAATTTCCTCAAGACACTTCACAGTTGGTGCTCAAAAGTTTTGAGGTCTTTGTCATATTTTTTGGGGTTATAAAGGAGACTTATAAGATAATATAAATTATCACATACTGTGATCTAGTCTGGAGCTTACATCCGGATATATTTTAGATTGATAAAGTCGTCTAATTATTTGCAGTAATGATTGAATTAACTTTATGTCAGCTACCAGTAGGGGCTTTTTACAATGAAATAGTGCTATCACAGTAGTCATTCAGATAAATTTCAGATAATAAGTCTAATTCTTTCATTCTGAGAAGCAGTACAATTACTAATAATTATATATTCCTTCAAGACACGCAATATTTGTGCAGAAAGTTTGTGACGGACAGAAAATGTTATTTTTTTAAAAAAACTCAACTCAAACTCATTTATCTTATTTATTTATTATTCGACCAATAAATGGTTTTGTTCTTGTTATTTTTTTGTAAATTCCAACATAAAATTTATAGCACTCACTGTACAGTTGTATTGTAAATAATGTAATTAAATATTGATAAAATTTGAGACAATATCACTGATATATAGATTATAAATCAGTATAACACCATGTTTAATTCTTAATTGTACAGCTAATATGGGAGAACATTTTTGTATGATTCAAAATTTCATGGTGAGTGTAGCAAGCCACAGAAAATAATGATATGCATTATGATTACTTTAATAAATAACATGCGACGTTTCGATGATGATGCTTTCGTCTTTATCATCATTGAACATCATTGCTTGATAAAGACGAAAGCAAGTTATTTATTAAAGTAATTGTTATCCATATAATTGTGTCCAGTAATTCAGTTGTTATTTAAGGAAAGCTGGAAAAGTTCCCTAAGCTGTAAAATTACTGAATTAACCATGGCACTGCATTTAGCTAGATCATACGGGCATTTCTATCCTAGTATATATATGGGGATTATTGAGCAATCTTATTCATGACATTAAAATAATCATTCATTAAAAAGGTGAAAATATATGAATTGAAACTTGAAACAATAATATAAAGTTGTGCTCAATAACATAATTGGAGAAACTAACAATCTGAAGTTTAAATTATAAATGAAGATATTATAAGATACAAACTATTTTATGAACAGTTTAGATTATGCTTGTATAACTATAAAAGGAATAAATAGAAACAATGAATATTTGCTTAAGATAATAAAAATATTCTGTAAATAAATGGAATGCAAAAATGGACGGAATTATTTTGCAAATCCTTACAACTCTGAAAATGTTATGTTAGTATGTTATGAATACTTCATTGTATATCACAGAATCACAATAAATACTTCAATTATGAATAAATAATGATGCCTGTCGTGCTTTGTTTAGTACAAATAACAAGAGATTTAATTATACACATTTATCTGTAAGGAATAAATCCTGATGAATTGAAACTATCCTAAACTACTGTTTAGCCTAAATGCCAACAAAAATACAAATAATCTAGACACATTAACAGCAGTAAAATTTATAGACAAGGCCTCGAAAGTGTACATAGATTCAGTGGAATATTAGATACTAATAGGCCAACCCTTAGGCTATTACTAATATCAACTAAATATAAAGTCCTAATAGTCAAAATTAATAGAGATATTGTACAAAGAAAATATACCTAAAGACCTAGATAATACACGATTCTCAGAACTAAAAATCTAACAATCATCATTCACTCTGTTCAGCAGTATTAAAATCATCATACACAAAAATATAACAAGCATTATGTTCATTCTGAATCAAAATACATAAAAACTCAGTCTAAGATTCATGTTTCGGATTAACATGGCATTTTACTTTCACGCAATTAACAATACACAAATTCTTCCTGATAACTGTGACTAAAGTTATATTCTTTAAGGGATTTCCAGTTAACAAACCCAATTGCAGAGTGGTTTCAGGTACGTGATGAATAGTAGACATGTCCTGCAATTAACACAAGAACAACCATTCAAGTGGAGCTCCAAATTTGAATTATGATATTAAAGGATACCTGTGTAATTATCTTGAAGATATAAACCAATAAATTGTAAGATATTCCAGACATCGCACATATCACATAATCTTCTCTGTACATACAAACATTAAAAATATTATTCTCTATTATTTTACCCATTCTTCAAATATAATCTAAATTTTATATATTTTCATTTTCTATAAAATACAGTTGTTCCACCAGAAAACAGTCATCCACATTTTTAACAAATTTAGACATTCCTTTCTGAATATTGACTTCGCTTGTCTTATTTTTACCACTTTTACTACGAGCACTCTTTAAATAATTATAAACTTTATCAAATGTATCTTTACCCAATTTCTTGATACATTGACTAATAAGAGTTAAGGAAATATTTTATTATAACAAATATATGTTAATATTCCTTAGTACGGTACCGCAATGATCAAAAGGTTGCTTTACAAGTAAAAGGCTTGTTTGCTACCTGGTGGTTTAGCATTTAATCTTTGCAAGGCTCAATCATGTGCAGAAAAGTAGGTTTAATTATTATTGATTATCTTGGCTTTTAAATATTAAAGGATACTCTTTCATATTCTTTATTTTTATTTCTTTGGTTTGAGGTCCAAATATCCCAGTATCATCATTTATCGTTGATTCTGAATGAAAAAAAAAATTATTCTCTGCTTTTACATTTTATAATCTTCAAACTTGCGATTGATGAAATTGCGTTTTAAATTGCAAAGAAAACTTGTCATTGAATTAAAACAAAACTTATCACTTGCCATATAATGTAAACAAAACTTACCACTTGTCATATAATGTAAACAAAACTTACCACTTGTCATATAATGTAAACAAAACTTACCATTTGTTATACAATGTAAAAAAAACCTACCATTTGTTATACAATGTAAAGAAAGCTTACCACTTGTCTTATAACGTAAACAAAACTTACCACTTGTCATATAATGTAAACAAAACTTACTATTTGACATGAACTTGTCATATAATGTAAACAAAACTTACCATTTGTTGTAGAACGTAAAGCACCTTGTAAACAACCAATGAATTCACTCATATCTTGAGTCTCTTCTCCCATCATGGTTCCTTCTCCATTTTCTTCATCAATCTCTTCCGATGCTTTCTTGGAAAGTCTATTGGCAGGAACTATTGTCTTTTCATCTTCATCATCATCATCGTCGGGCGTAACTGGCTCATTGTTCTCAAATTCATCGTCAAATTGGGAGTAATATGTATCAGCTAGTTCTGGTTTGTTGGGAATTCCTAATTTAAAAGACATTACTTAATTGAGATTCTTGATTATTTCTGACTGTGCTAAACTTTCGTTGTATTTTCATTTATTGCATGCAGAAAACCAAGCAGTCAAGAAGCAACATCGGAAAAATGTCTTGCCATTCAGATGGAACAATAAAAAGAGGCCCTGTGTAACAGACTGTTGCATCAAAAATAAAGAATTATGTCTTCTGGAGTGTTTACGAGCAATTAGGGACACACATCAGTATACATCCCACAATTCATAGAGGCATTAAAAAATTTACTACCCACCATCTTCAAAATCTAGTGTGGAATGAAGTGAATTATAAACCATAGTATTTTTCATGGGAGTTATTGGACGATCTTCAAAGCCTCTGTTTCTAGCTGGTAATGTAGAGCTGGCCTGTGGTCTTCACTATATCTATCACTGTCAACATCATCATCTTTTCTATTATACATCTTGTTGATTAAATCTACAATCATAGATATTCAAGATATTTCAATCAAATGCACAATAAATTTAAGTACACAACCTCTTTGACACATCCTTCTTTATTTCTACCATGTTTCACTTTGGCCAGTATATTTTCTTACAAAGAACATTCAGGATTACATAAATTCAAGACTCAAATCAACCCTGAAAATGGCGAACTATGACCTTTAAGCCATTATTAATCAATAAGCTTTTTTACTACGGCACAAGGTGAAACTCATTAATGTTTGAGAACAGACATCTCTTCCCATTGAGAATTGTTAATTTTTTCAAATTTGAATTGAAAGGGTGTTTCTATTGGTTTTCCTGCCAATTAGTAAACCAAGGTACCATCACTATCAATTGAGGTGGTAATGACATTTAACTCCATAGGGGAGATGGTCCTTTCAGTCACCTGTTGATCAAAAAACAATGGCCAGTAACTGTGTTCTGACTTACCTGCATGAGACAAAGTGGTTGCTTCACGTTCTCTGTAGATCTTATCTGATCCTTTAGACAACATTTTCTTCACATGTACACCTTCACCTTCCCCACCAACCCATACAGGAGCCTGGGGGAAATATCAGTTTATGTTAATAATAAAAAAACAGATATGAGTCAAGGATCTTTGTACCATAGAACATTCTAGTTAGCTTTTCTTGCTCCTGATCAGTTCTTTAATTTGCTTGTATACCACACGTTCAATTTTGGAAATTAGCCCTATAAGCGACACCAGCTGTCCTGATGAGGATTGTATATCGAAAAAGCATGTATTGTCACCATGAGATGAGCTCCAGTTAATTATGAAATAAACTTACAATTGATTTAGCCAAGGTACTTCTTATATCTGATTTTCTTTCTTGATTTTCTAAATAATTTTCTTTAGCAAGTTGACTTAGTCTATTTCTTTCTTCTTCTGCTTTGCGTAATTTTCTAATCTTGGCTTTTTCTGCTGGTGTTAAACTTTTTTGGCTGGCATCCTCGTAGTCTGACATACGGGCCTTTTCTGAACTAAAATAGAGTGTGTAATTCAATTTATAATGAATTACATATTGCACCAAATTTCTAGTGTAAAAATCTTTCTTCGAATGAATTTTATTATATGTATGGAGTTAATTGGGCTACTTACACATATTTCCTAAATTCAACGTTGTCATCAATACCAGTATGAATTTTAAATTCATCAGATAATAAATCTTTCATTTGCTGAAAAATACAATCAACTGAGTTAACTGAGATATTTATTCAGAGTTGAAATTCACATGAAATAGGTAGTAAGAATTCAAACAGTTTTAGTGGAATTGCATGACCGATTTACATTCGATTGAAAATTGGAAAAGTACAAAAAAAGATACCATCTTTATCCCTGAGACACATAGAAAGCTAAACGCAGCTTTTTCTATATCATACAATGTAGATAAAACTTAAAAAAACTTGACTTACAGCCATATGTTTGGCCACATAAGGCATCTGAGTAACTTTTGTTGCACATGGTCTTTCATCTGGGTTCTTGATTATCATCCTAAAGTAAAAACCAAAATAGTAAGTATAGATCTAATGAATATCTGAAAATCAGGCTTTTTATTTCTTTTAAAATGCTGTGCAAGATTCCTCTTGCATTAAGGTACCCAATTAAGGTGCATAAAGGGAAGAAGTAAAACTCTTTGCCAGGAGTGCCCATTTCAAGACTTAGAGTTCAACTTGCTCATATTTATCAAAACTTACCCTTTAAATACTTCATTTAAATCTTTAGAATATCTTTTAGGTAAGTCTGGTGGTTTCCCTTCCACTATTTTATACATCACTGCCATCAAACCCTGACCATCAAATGCATGTTCTAATGCACACATCTCATATAATATACAACCAATTGACCTAAAAGAAAAAACAAGAGATTCCGATGAAAACGCTTTCGATGAATCAAGCCATGGGTAGGTAGAAATGTCATCTTAATTATCAAGCAGTTGAAAGGGATCGCTGAAATTGAGCTCTACTTAAATAGAAACATTTTAATACAGCAAGTATAGGTAAAAAATTTCATAGTCTAGTCCCTTTCTGACCAATTTAAATATAAGCTTACCAATTAAAAAGTTAAGAACAAACAACATACCAAATATCAGATTTAGAATTGTATCCTTCATGTTTTAAAACTTCGGGACTCATGTAGTATGGTGTTCCAGTAAAAGTCGATGCATAATCCACAGTACTCATCAATATACGTGATATACCAAAATCACCAATCTTTATCTTATTCTTGCGTAAAAATATATTTCTGAAATAAAAGGTATGTTGAAATTACTTGTTTGATGTCTTTCTCTTGTATCTCAAGATCTCAAGATTTCTGGCAGAAATTGAGAATTGGTTTGACAATAACTTTACCAATCTTGAAGTTTGTTTTGCATGAATATTTAAAGAAAGTTTAAAAAAAAAAAAAAATGTTCTTTATTGTAACACTAAAATGATGTTCAGGGATAATCTTTGCCAATAGAAGCCCTTCCGAAATTTAAACAATATATTCACCTTGATTTTAAATCTCTATGAAGAACTCTTTGACTGTGTAAATATCGGACTGCTAATACTAACTGAACAAACCAATCTAATACTGTTACTTCTTCTATATATCTTCCTTTCTTCTTAGTTTCTATAATCTTAGAATCTAGATCACCACCCTAAAACATAGAGTCAGGTAAAATCATATGCAAGGGTGTATTTCAATCCATCTAAACCCTGAACCTAAAGATATATCTTAAACGTCTTCTTTTAGACCTCTGGTTCCCAACCTGGGGTGTTTTCACCCCCTGGGGGTGTGGGACTAGGGTGTCAGGGGTGTGGCCAACTGGTGTAGGAGAAGAATTTATTTTGAGTTGAGAGAGCACCTCACATCATCACAAATGTGATGAAACAAATTTTTGGGATGTGTAAAGTCCACGTGATGGCTCCAGGGGTGTGAAGGCTGAAATCGGTTGGGAACCACTGTTTTTAACTGTTGTTGGCTGTTTATTGAAGTTTAGATGTAACAAGCATTCAGGTCAGAAGATTTATCAGAAGTACTGTGTCTCTTCATTCTTATGGAAACCTACTGTCATTCAGCAACAATAGTTGAAAATTTTTTGGCACATTTATTTCATTTCAAATTTAATTCTTGGGACACTAAGGCCAAGATTGATACTATTTGAGAGCAAATTCCCATCAATCATAATGGGGTATCAGGGTTTGAGAAAAAAATCAGGGCATATAATATGAGCTAGGATTCTTAAACTTTTTACATATCTAAAATTGTTTATGTGGTGCACAGGCCCGTAATGTCTGCATTACTGTGTCAGAAAATTACAAACAATACCTCACAATACTCTGTAACAATACAAAAATATTCCAGAGTTTCATCTATAAAACTGTCAAAATATTTAACAATATTGGGATGTTTTAATCGTGATAATAATCTGGCTTCGTGATTGGCGTCAACAGTTTCATCAGGCTGTAATTCACCAACGTAAATTTCTTTCACAACTTTACTGGAATGATAAAATTACACAGGTTGAACATTTTGTTAAAATAATGTTCCATGGGTCGATTCAAAGATAAATAAGTTGAGTTGATCAATTTCAGATGGATATTTTCAATATAACTAGAAGTTTTATATTTGCCTACAAATGAGGATTGTACCATAAATAGTGAGCCTCACTAAATAAATGATAAAATAACACCCCTCATATATGCATTATAATAATAATAATAATGATGCATTTATATAGTGCCTTTTTTCCAGAAAAGTTCTAGTGACGCTGAGTTGCTCTGTCATATCTGGTATTCACAAGTAAGTTAGTGTGTCTTAAGACGAGTCTTGAAAATGTCCACTGAATTTGCGTCTTTAACATGTTTTGGTAGATTATTCCATAGCACAGGTACTGCGGATGAAAAAGCACGCTCAGCACAGTAAGTTCGCAGCTTTAGATATTAAATATATAAGTAAATAATAAATATATTAGTAAATATTTAATATATAAGTAAATATTAAATATATAAGTAAATATTAAATATATTAGTAAATATTAATTATATAAGTAAATATGTCAAGAAATAAATCATTTTTTATATCCCTCTCTCACAAATGAATTTTAATAAAAAACCTTCTTATCTCAAAGCTTCTAAGAATCAGCTCAGAATCATTTTTCAATCCTCATCTTATTTCTGTATAGTAATTTTTGGAAGTAATAGATATTCAAGAAAAAAAACATCAACTATGCAATACTCACTCTTCTTTGTCACCATAGGAATCTTTACACATAAAAACTGTGCCAAAATTTCCACTTCCCAATTTATTGACAATTTCATATCTATTTGCTAATACTCTTGCCTTTTGGGTTTCACTATTTTTTGAAGGTCTTCTGGGTGGCATGATTGTGTAGGCATCTAACCTTAATTTCTTTGTCAGTTATTCAGTAGATGACCTATATAATAAAATATAGATGACAAATGAAAAGGCATTCAACCATGAACAATACAATGTCAATATTTGGCTTTTGTCTTGGCACACTTATCCAATTTACGTCAATTAAATTATCAAATTACTACAGTCAGAGACAAGTTCAGAAATTTCGGATTTATTTCAAGAAATAACCTATTATTGATCAAATTAATTCTGAGGTCAGCACAAACCAAATTTTCAGACTGTGCCTAGACAAAGGATATGTCCCCATAATTCGATCCGTTGTAATTTTACCTGGGCGATCAATAGTTTTGTCTTATCACAATGAAGAAGAGCTGAGCGGACATGTTGTTTATGGCGTCTCTCGATACGAGACGTCTAAAAATAAATGTCGTAAAAAGTGTAACAATGTACCACACTTGTCTGACAGTTAAACTATGAATATAATCAAAGTTTATTAGAATATTTCATTCTTAACATATCAATCATAATGTTAATAATTATATATGAAATATTTCAATTTAACACATTTTACGACATTGCATCAAAATCGTAGACTTGAATGACATACAAAATTTGTAAAGAAATTGTTAATGTCTGGGTAATCAAAAAACAAATATTTCGTCTGCTATTTCAACAATTGGGTTATAATGAATAATTTATAAACCTAAGACCAATTTGTTTTAATACATTGTATTGTATAATCATTTATTGATTACTCCAGTAGTCTAATTGCTAATTACAAATGACTTGATCAAATCACTGACAGCTTACTAATCAATAAGCAAAGTGATGATCATTGGTAATCCGTTATTGTACCAACAGCCTGTAGTAGCCAAGATTATCCTAGCTTCTTCCTCAACCCGTTCATATTTTGTAAACATTGATAATGTTAATCACAGTTTTGCAAATTGGTATTAAATTCAAACCGCAAAATGAAACCTGAAATTCACAACATTTTGGTGAAACATATTGCCTTTTAGATCATATACCAGATGGTATCAAATTCTAATAAAACAAATCATAGATCAGGTGGAAAGTTTGAAAAGAAAGAATTGTTTGGAAAATAGAATTATTCTACCTCTGGTCATTTCTCTTCAATATCTGATAGAAATGAGGCAAAACTTTTGCTAGAATAGTTCTTTCAATATCCAGATTTATAACAATTAAAGATTTATTAAGCTAAGATAAAACTAATATAATCATATATAAGATGCATGTTCTTCACATACAAGAAGAAGATTATGAAGCAAATTTATTCTTCATGTTCAATTTTGGAAAAATCGCATTAGCTTTAATAATTTTTTATTTTATGTTCACGTTAGCTTTAATGATTATTCTAGGGAGCGATTTGTGTGTTTATAGACACTTGAACAATTTTTCGGCGAAAACTCTATCTTTTGATTTCTGTTACAATTTTGTTACTATCTAGAGTAATTTCTAAATTTAGAACCTAATAATTTTGGATGTCATTCAATAATAATTATTTTTTTATCATGGAAAGAAACAGAAAATAAATACTCCTTAATCCATGTCACGTGATCAATTATAAGGTCAACATGGCCGCTGCTGCAATGGCCGGTTGTGGAGACTTTGAAGTTTTCATCAGACAGCAGTGGTACAAAGTGAATATAACCCTAAATGACGATTCACTGTCACTGTCACTAGTCGAGGGAGCTGAGCAGCCAGCTTTGCTAAATGGAAATGGTGAACATCGAGTAGGAATCGTCAATGGCTATCCAGACTTGCCTGACAGTATTGCCGGTCAGAAAAGAGTTGTCAAAGTTCAGAAGGAAGAACAAAATGGTTTGGGTGTCAGTATTAAAGGAGGAAGGGAAAATAAGATGCCAATTCTAATTAGTAAAATATTTAAAGGGATGGCAGCAGATAAAACTGAGAAACTGTATGTTGGGGATGCTATTTTGAGTGTCAATGGTGAAGATTTGAGAGAAGCTACCCATGATGAAGCTGTCAGAGCCTTGAAAAAGGCTGGAAAAGTGGTGGAACTTGAAGGTGAATTTGCATTATAATTTGTACAAATATTTGACACTAGTTGACACTTCAAAACCACATGATAGCAGAATATTTGCTTTATGCTATGCTCATTTGCATTGAAGCAATGTAATAATCTAAACCTAATACTGTACCAGTAATAAATTGACTCCATTTTTTATTTTTCAGTGAAATATCTTAGAGAAGTGACACCATATTTCCGAAAGAGCTCTCCACTAAATGACATAGGATGGGGGTCACAAGAAGCACCCAAAGATGGTTCTAAGTCCAGTTTAATAGAATACAAGTTGCTGCCACTCAAACTTTGTTTTTCATGTCGAAACTTGACAATGCCAGACCCTGATAAAAGAACTTTAGAAATTCATTCTCCTGATGGTAAAAGTTCTTGTATTCTGAGATTTCCTGATGCAAATATATGTACAGAATGGTTTAACACCATACATGGGACCATCTCTATGCTGTCACAACATGCAATAGCTGAAGCCAATCAAATAATCAGTTCCTCACCAAATCAGACACAAATTCATCACATGGGTTGGCTTGCTGAACAGGTAAGTCGTTTAAAGACTAAATTTTCAAAAGTGCATTATTGCAACCTGATAATTATTTCTGTCTCATGTAAGATTATTATCGTGCATGCATAGGATAGGCACTGATTAAATTAGTTTCCAAAGCTCATCTTGTTGTAGCTGCTCACACAAGTTTCAAGTACAGCTGTTTACTCAGAAATTAAATCCTTTGTACGAAAAGAATTTAGAAAATCAATCATTTAGTGTGCATTGCACTAGTATTTCTATCTTAAATGCTCACTTATTTCATTTATTTTATCAAAGTGATAATTGTGTTTTACATGTTTCAGTTACAAAATGAACAGGGTGCCTCATCCTGGAAACCTGTATGTATAGCTTTAAGTGATACAGATATGTTACTGTATGATACAGCTCCTAGTAGTAAAGAGGAGTGGGCTACACCTTTCCAAAGTCATCCATTACTTGCAACAAGGTAGGCTCCGCATTTTTTCATATTTTATTTGCACACACAAGGCAGTGAAAACTATTTAGAACATCTTAATTTGAATGGACTAAACTTTAAAGAACATGAGATTTTTCAAGTATGATTTTTCCCTCTTTCTCTGATGAGTGAATTGGTGTAAAGACTGAATATTTTTTTCCAATTCACAGATTGGTTCACTCGGGAAAGCAGATGAGTAATGGTCATGACGTCATGTCATTTGGAACTAGGTCTGGGACCAGAAATGGTGTTGAAACACATGTATTTAGAGTAGAAACACAAAGAGATCTAGCATATTGGTCTAGAGCATTGGTGCAAGGTTCACATGGTGCTGCTGTATTGACTAAAGAAGTTATTACCCGTAAGTACAGCTTATATAATTTATATGGAGTTGCTAGTTGTTTACTAGCAAAGCTTGTAGTAAATTTATTTCAATTTTTGAAGTCAGTCTGACAATTATTCATATTTTAGTGTCCTAGATTATATATTTCTTCACTGGAGGGTTATCTCCATATAAAATTAAAAAACTAGACGCATTAGTTCTGATATAACTTTGACCTATAGTCTAGTCAGTTGATTTAGTAGTATTGATTTCTTCTCTATTCCTTAGCTGTAATCTGGCAAGGAAAGAAAGCTAAGTTGGTTATTAATTATGAAAGTGGGTTTACCTTGATAGAAGATAAAAATGGTGGCACAACATTTTGGAATTTCCCGTTTGAGAAATTAAAAATGTCAGCTGATGATGGGCACAGACTATTATGGTTAGATTTTGTAGATGATAGTGAACAGGTAAGAGATTTTTTTATTTTATATCTAAAATGTGAAAAATTGTGTGTATCAAGGATGCTTTCAGTGTCCCCAATACACATAAAAAGTTTAGAAACCTCTTTATAAGCCTTTTAAAATTGTAAAGAACTGTAAAACGTAATAAACTATTGAATATATATATGTTATTGTATTTTTCAGGAGTTAGATTTAAACATGTGTCCAAAACCACTAGTCTTTAGTCTTCATACTTTCCTCTCAGCTAAAGTTAGTCGACTTGGCTTGATAGCCTAGATTAGCTGGATAGCTCTGACCATGGTTTAAAACCTTATAATGTCCACAATAATAAACCTTCCTTAGATCTTGTGAAATGGATTATATATCCACCTATATATTCACCAGTTTGTGAGTACTATTGATATGATTGATTCATTATATTGCCCATCTTTCTGTTCTGGGGAACAATTTCAAGTAGGCAAGAAGTTGGTTGTGATCATGCAAAATCATAGTGATAATGATAAACCGTACCATATTAGCATGAACTTTTTCTGATTTCTCAAAGTAAAATTCCACACAAATTTATATCGATTTTGAGGATTTTTGAGGAACAGAGGCCCTAAACTTTTGAGATAATGAGCCCTGATCAAAGAAACCAAATGGTATTCAACGTAATATTATTTAGAATAGAAGAAGGATTCCTCTTTGAGATATTACTGGTGAAAAACTGGACTTTTCCATGTACATTTATAGCTCAACCAAACTGTAGAAAGAATAGATTTAGCTGTTAATGTGATAGCAATATTATATTGTAGTTATTAGTATATACTTTATGTCAAGAGGAAGAACTCACTTTCATCAGGTAGAGAGTAGTATTGAACTCACTTAAATTGATATTGGTTAACGGACATCTCACACATTTTGTAGAGAATTCAAATTATCTGAAGTTCTGATTTGAACAATATAAGCTATATGGACGCTCCAAAAGTATGCAAAATTGCATGTTTTACGGCTTATAAGACAACCCTGTTATTTTGATTACAATAATGCTGCTTTTGTAAAACAGAAATTGCTATTAGTTTAAATAATTCAATGCTTTATGTCTTTTGACTCGACTCATATATTTTCTAGTCTATAAGTATCAAGTATATTAGGGCAATATATATGTTAAATGATTAGTAAGAAATTTAGTAGCACAATGTTGCATGATTTATGCACTGATTTAACAATGATAAGAGGGGCTCAGCCCGACCTTGTGTTGTGACTGGTGGCATCAACGACGGAAATTGCAAAATAACTGCTTGTAACTGGCTGCATTATTGAGAATCTTATCGATGTGGGTTTAGTTCATCTGAGTTCACAAACCGATGAAAATAGCAGTGCTTGTTAGCCGTTGGAAAAACTTTGCAATCAACCAAAGTTCCCCTTTTCATTTACTATTATTATATATATGTCAAATGTCTATTCAACTGCAAAAACAGGTTATGCTTTTATGTTTCATGTTTTGGTGAAAGTTAATTTCAAGGTTTTTTTTTTTTGAAATCTCAATAATTTAGTGCAGTTTATCTGGATAGTCAGGTCCTGAGAAAGCCTCAGCTTTGGATTTTTAAATTTTAGCCAAATGATTGTGTATTTTCCACAATTCTCAATGAATATTGGCAATAAACATTTTAGGCAACTTCCCTTTAATAGTTGCAATGAAGCAAGTTTACTGTTATTTGCAGGTTGGTGAAAGCTACATATATAAAACAATGATTTTTTAATGGCACAAGTTAGTTAGTGAAGATTATTTTGTATCGATGGTGCTGAGTTTTATTTTTTAACTGCACATATTTATTTGTTATCTTTTTATATTTATTTATCTTCTTGTTAATGTATGAATGTATGATTGTTCTCTTATCACATTTAGATTTTAAAGGTATACTACCGCTTAGAGTGACCAAAAACTGAAATTCTTTAAACAATGCCAAGAGTATATTGTTATGGAGATAATTATCTATAAAACTTAGTCATTATTGAAACATGCTTAAAAGTGTCTTTCAATCATTACTTAGTTTAATGGATATATCATCTTATTTAGAGAGATTCCATCGTCATGGCACCAGGTAAGACCAACTGATCAATATATCCTCTTATAATAATAATAATAAACTTTATTTTACACGGGTCAGAATTATGCCCAATACACATGGTCCTGTCTAACATTCAGCTCATGTTGAATTGACCAAGTTTGAGACTTTGAATTTTATGTCCATTCTAAGAGGTAGTATTCCTTTAAGTAGATTTCAATTTCATGGATAATTCCCTCTGAGATTATTAAGATGCTAGGTAGTTATGGAATTTGAAGAAATATAAAGACTCATGTCTGGTACTTTCTGGTACATTAATTATCATTTAACATTAAAATAAACGTTAGGTTTAACATTATTCATGTGGTTTATTAAATTAAAACATTTTAAAATTTGGATTTTTGGAACCAATGCATGATGCAAAAATGCATGAAATTATTTTAAAATTAGTTTACAAAGAAGGGAGAAATTTGTACAGAAGGTTTGTTTTTATGTGTTGCGATGATCACAAGATGTCAATTGATATAATCATATCCCTAACTAGGCAGGTTACATATAATCATCCCAGAGTCTCTCTATTCTATTATTGACCTTTTAGAATGTCAATGTACATCAACAACAGAAATAACATTTATTCCAAGGTGCAAGGTCCTCTTTGCATGAAATTTATAACTGTACCCAATAAACTTCAATGACAAACTTTAAACCACTGATGTAGTAAGGGTATAGAGTGATTATCCAATTACTTCGTATGTATTCCATATTACCCAAAAGATCAAAGAAATTTTCCATGTGTAGTATTACCATGAAATATTGTGTGAATGAATGTTGAAGCAATGTTATATATGCAAAAACTGTGTCAATGTCTATATAAAGAGTGTATATTTTCAATAATTATTGTAATTTATTTAAAAATAAGCTTATAAAGAATCATATAAGAGGTAAAAGCATGACTTATTCTATATTTTTATGGCTTAAACAGGTGCCAATTTTCTGCTAGTAACTACAATGATCATGGAAGGAGGCTGAAATTATAGCAGTGATAGTGTATCTGATACTATACCAGTAGAAAATTTGTAAATTTTAGATAGCTGGCAAAATAGCTAATCAGCTGTACAAGTATAGAATAAGCCTTGAAATTACTTTTATAATGCATGCATACTGTAATGTTGTGTGTATTTTCTCGTTATAGTGATTATTATATTATATATGTTTTGTATACACCATTTTAATCATGAAACTGTTGAAAGATAGATAGGGGAACATAGCTTTTATAGAAACATTTTAATGCCCCTTCTCTGATATATTGATGCTTCCACTTAATAACACACATCATTGGTATATGGTTCACAATCTTGATAGCTTCTAGACTATTTAGCTTTATGTACCTGATGTGCAGCTAGCCTGATAAATCTGGCCCTACCAATTCTTTGGGCGTTATATATGGATGGGATATCAGCATGTTTAGAGCCAGGCATAAATTGTCACTTTTTATGGGAGTTCCGCTGATCTATTTTTGAATTGCTAGTTTTTAAGAATTTTCACCATTACAAAACTTTTGTTTTGTAAAAAAAAGCTGAACAATTAATGAGTCATTAAAGACATTACCAGATATTTTAAAATGTCCATATGCCCCACGGCTGTTGCGAATTATTTGATATGCAAAATAATGTAAATCATTTCATACTCTGTGTAATATTAGTTTATGGAGCAAAAGAAGCTAGAGGAAAATGCATTATGATTGATGATCAAAAGAGGCTTATATGGCAATATACTGAGCTCAGACAAAGCAGAAAAACCACCAGATTGTACGGATTTATATTATATCCTAATGGAGCTGAAAATAACCTATCTACAGACAGGGGGCTATAAGAAGGAATTATATTATATTATCCATGTCTATGAAATAAGATAAAGTCTAACAATTTATCACATGAATTCCTATTTTTAATTGTTGTTATACATGTTATATATATTTCTAGATCTTCAAGTTATGCATTTATTTAGTTTAATAAAGAAATGTTTACATTATAATTTTGCAACTTTTCTTTGGCTTTGCCCGTCTTGGCTTTTGGGTAGGACCAGAGTCCCTGTGTGCAACAGGTTGTGGAGGTTAGAGGTTAGTTCAAAATTGAACTGCGCAGGAAAATTTTCTTCTGCAGTAGAACTTCTTTACATTGCATTTCATTTTGCTTCCATGTGACAAGCTTACCCTGGTATTCCTTTCACAGATGGGTCCAATAGATTCTAATCATTGACTTGGTCTTTAATATTACAGATGTTCATATATAGATTTTCCATACTGTATAGTGGCCGTATTTATTATTTTAGTAAGAAATATTTTTCACACAATAGATCACTATAAAATATCTATACTATCACAATGAGATTTACATAATCACTGAACACTAAACCTATCAGTTCTGGTAGAAAAATACTTAAAACAACGGACTGACTCCTGTGTCACCTATTTGAAGTGATGAGAGCAAACACAAAGCAATATCTCACACAAAAAGAAACTGTTGCATTTAGAAGTGCATCTAGTCCATAGTGCCTTATTCTCAATCGGATAACCACAAATAGATAAATCTTTTAAGTCTCCAATCACAATATTGTCACTGAATAAAATGTATCCGGACTTTATCCTGACCCTGATCAAACAGGTATATTGGTATAATTTTTATATGCTTGGAAATTCACCATCTTTAGCATAGTTCCTAGTTGATTACCAGGTCCAACTTCATAAGTTTGAGGGAAATTTTCACCTGCTTTGCGAGCATATAATACATGTAATGTTTGTTCCCACTTTACAGGTTTGATAATCTGTTTACCAAGGAGATCAATGATGTCTTTTGAACGTTTATAATTTTTAGCCGTCACATTACTATGTACGCGAAATAAAGGTTTAGAAAATTCTGTCTTTTTTAAAGCTTTTACAACAGACTGGCGAGCTGATTGCATTAAAGGTGTGTGAAAGGCTCCACTTACTGGTACCATTATAGTTCTCTTTATTTCAAATAGGTTCTTGTTATCCTGTATGAATTTCAGGGCCTGCAATATGAATAATTTCATTAACCCAACAAAATTAAAAATTTTCATTGATTGCCCTAAAATACATACATGAAAGAATGTTTTCAATAGAGCAATAATTTCAATTTCAATAATTGATCATGTTTATGGACCATAATGATAATGATTCAAAATCCAAATCTGGTAACTAGGGTAGAACCAGAATCTCCCATGAAATTCTATTGAAGAAATGAGGTGTTCTACATTTTAAATGCACCTTATTTCCAACAATGCATTTGAATTGTAGAATTCTAAATAAAGGGGTGCGTTGAAGAGAGTAAGTGTAAATTTATTTCAATTGAAGAGCGTTCAGAAGCTAACAAGTTACTTTTCTTACCTCTATATTGCCTGCTATCACTTTACAATCAAATGATATATAATTAGCCACCCCACAAACAGGGTCCTCAATTTCTAATTTTTCTTCACAATATTTCCTGGCTGCATACATAGCTTGTTTTAACTTCGATTCATTCTTTAGAAAGACCGTCATCATACCACTGTGTACCACCTCAGAGGCTTTCTGCATCTCTTCAGCACGTAACTTAACAATCTTTAATGCTGTAAAAAAAATTAAAATTATTTAATTTGAAGATCAATTTGCACCATTCCAATTTTCAAACAGATGTCTGTGATTCCTGCCATTCCATTAAGCCTAAGTGATTGATGATGCCACTAAATGCAAAATATACTTTATCACCTTTCACGATTAGTGACATAATCACACATGGTTTTGATGGAATTGCAGGAATCTGCTTGATAATTGGAATGGTGAAAATTGATGCTATCAGTGCCCCTAATACACGCACAAAATTAAGAAAACCGCTTTACAATTCCTCTAAAGTAACAAAAATTAGAATATTATGATAATGCTTTACATGCCAGTGACTGAAAACAAAGGCTTGTAGGCACCAAACCTCACCATCTTCAAAAGGTAGAACACCACTGTAAACTAAAGCTGCATATTCCCCAACACTAAAACCAGCACTTCCAATACATGTATTCAGGACCTGAAATATAAATACTCATATCAAATATGAATTGTAAAGAAGTTCTCTTCTGCATCATTCCAATTTTCTATAAGATGTGTGTGGTTCCTGTAATATTGCTAATATAATAATAATATAATGCTAAACAGCAATCACAATAAAGATGTCATAAAAGCTTAGTTTTAGTGGAATTTTAAGACCCACCAACGTCTGACTAAAAATTGGAAAGGTTCAGCAAACCTCTTTACAATCCCTTCAATAGCCTTGAAAAGTCATTTTCTTTCTCAGGTCATTTTATTTTAATCAAATTATTTTCAAATGTGCTATACTCACATCTGGATATAGTTCTTGTAACTTCTGAGTTGCAGCAATAGAAGTAACAAACACAGCTGGTTGACAAAATACAGTTTTATCTAGCTCTGTTTTAGGTCCATTGAGACATAGATCTAGCAGGTTATAACCCAATATTTCATTAGCTGCTTCATAGATCTCCTGAGCACCTTGATACTCTAACAACTGTTTGCCCATTCCAACAAATTGACTTCCCTGGCCAGGAAACAATAACAAACTAGTTTCGCTGGGGTCCACTTTAGGACGAAATGCATGTTGAGTTTGATCTCCAGGTGCAGGACCATGGAATTCTTTATCTGATGGAAATCCTTCTTTTAAAGGCTCTTCAATCATCATATTGTCTATTTGAGATTGCAAATTTAAGTTATTTGAGATATCCTCTGACTGTGTAATGTCTGAGGTGACATCATCATTGTCATTTCTTTCTGAACAATATTGTTGTTTGTTTCTAAATACAACCAAACTTGATCTTTTAAACATATTCCAGCTCAACTGGTTTGCACTTCTTAATTTCAGAATACTTGGTAGCATTTTGTTGTTACTTTCAACAGTTCATTCAAAAGGTTGATTCAATTCAATCAACTTTGGTAAATCTGAAATGAAAAAAATAGACATTAAACTGAGACTGATTTAAATATTTAGATTCATATTTAAACAATTACCTTGGGGGCCTAGCATATAGGAAGCCAGAGACTAAATTTGTTAAGGTCCAGACTTAACATTCATGAAAAATTAAAATGTTATCATTGTTGTTGTGATTGTATTGTATTGTCTTGTGATCACCAATGTGTTTAAATTTCATTTATTAATTTCACATTCCATGCAAAAGTATTTATTATATGTACTAAAGCATTGACTTATTATAAGCATATAGAGTGTGACAAATCTGGCCATGAAGAAGGGTAAGGAGTAAGGAGTAGGGAAGGCAGTGAGTGAAACACTGTTAAAATGCATGCTTTGACATTTTCCTACATTTTAAAAATATAAACAAATCATTGAATCATTGGACATGTGCTGTTGTTGTTTAGATTTTCCAGTCCGAAGTTTCTGCAGTAATTATTAGTAGTACGTCTTGACAACCGGGGAGTTTAATGGACACGTACAATCAATTGAAATTCTAAAAGGTCAGAAAGTACCTATCTTTTTTTTCATTTTTCATTTTTCCTTTATTTTGATTACGGTCTCCTCTGAATATTTTTTTTTCATATTTTGAGACATATGTACCTTCTTTTCACGAATTTAGTCATAAACATTGTCGTTCACTCGTGTATTAAACATATGGATATCATCGCTTCATAATATTCCTTGATTAAAATTTGTTCGTAACATTTCCCGCGCTTTATGAACACGTGATGTGATTTCGCGGGAAATAGCTCGCTCTCTCTATTGTTTGTTGATCATATAGGAAAAAAGTTCAGGACAATCTTAGAAAATAATATTAAAGTTCTTGTGAAAAAATGTCATCCCCAGCTTCAACGCCATCCAGACGACGAAGTAAAAGGGGAAGAACGTCAGAACCTGCCAGTCCAGCCACAGAAGATGTGGAAATGCCAAAAACACGTATGAATTCTATTTTGATAATTAAAATTAGAACCTCAGACTCTAGATCAATGTTAGTATTGACATTGTCCAAATCCATGTTAGATCACAGACTTAACGTAGTGTTACTTGATAATTTATTTGACTCTGCCTTAGTCTGAGTGTCTTTCCTGATCACCCTTGGCTCTGTCTATCTTATTAGGCTCTTTGTGGTCACTACTTTAAGTTTTATGGCCTGTAAACCATCTTTCAATAAATGATTTCTCTATTTTAGCTTCAAGAAGGAGTTCAAGAGCAACAACACGTAAGTAAGATAGACTGTGCAAAACTTGTAATAACGTCAGGTCTCGTAAAGCTTGACTTACTCAATTGTAGGCCTACATGACTTGCATAATTATGTTCTAATATTGCCGCAATATTGGTCAAATTTGATTAATCCGTGGAAAAGTCATGTAGCTAACTAAAAGAAATGACATTGACATATAACCCTATTAAAGATTTATTTCAAATTTTCATGTACTATATTTTGTATTATTTCTTGTAATTTCTTTTTCAGCATCCAGTAAAGGTAGTGCGAAGAAAAGAAGGGTAGATGCCTCTCCTGGAAGTGAATTGGCTCCTATGCCGTCATCCCCTCCCTCTGGTGTACGAGATGAATCTCTGTTTTCAAGTCCTAAGGGTGGAAGTAAGTAAAGACTAGAATCTTTAATCTAGTTAATTGCTTCTTATTTGAGGCATTTAATTTTATGAAATCAGTAGAACATTGAAATGCTAATATGATAGACAAATTTTGTACCAATAAAAATGTCTGATCAAATTGGAATTAGGGCAACAAGGACTATTTATGATGATACTATTCAAACCAATATAAAACGATATCTCAGTCCCCTTTCATAATGAATTTGCACTTTGATTTGTTCATCTTATTTACTTAATCAGTACCGGTAGTTTGGTTTGTTCATCAGTATAAATCTTAATCTGTTAAATTCAATCTAATCCCATCACTAATCCCAACCTCCCTAATCACTAATCCCATTGAGCAGTTCTTATCAATGTGATTTAAATAAGTGATCCAATGATATGGTAAAAAAAAGTCTATTTACTAACATATTTTGATTTTTCAGTTCCCACAAGTGAAATTGATTTGAGTTCACCATTGAATTATGGAACGCCAAGTTCAAGAGGACCTATCACACCTCGTACCCCAGGTTTGGGTGCTACACCAATTCGACAACGGCCAGATATTAGATCTACTAAAAAGATGAAACAAGTAGCTATTGGTGGATCAGATCCATCGGTAAGTTTACAGGCTGTTCCACCCATATCATATTTTAAATCACAGGATACATAATATCTTTTCATGAAATTGCTTAGTCATTTCGGGAATTGAGAAATTTTGCAACTCTTTGTCCCATTTTATCCCATTTTATCCCATTTTGTAAGTCCATAATTAGTTAGTTTGTGTTAGTTTTAAAGATTTTAATAGATTCTTGTTACTTTCAGGAACCAACTAAAGTAACAAGTGAAATAAGCAGTGATCCTAATGCAGGACCACAGTTAGTAATTTGGGGTACTGATGTAGTTGTTAGTCAATGTAAAGAGAAATTTAGAAGATTTATTAGTAAATATATAGACAGACAGAGTGTAGCTGATGATGAACAGTTTGAAGGAATGGATATCAGTGAACCATATTATTTACAGAGATTAGACGAGGTAAATAAGCTTGAGGGTACATAAATGTTTTGAACTTGAACCCAAAGATAATTAGAGATAAGTTCAAAGTGGTTTCATTAATTTCATAGATTGGTACTCCATGTTGCAATAGCTGTCATAAAAGGCATAGTTCAAGTGGAATTGTAAAACCCACAGATGTCTGACTGAAATAATGGTGCAAATCGATACTATTGGTGTCTTGATACACGTAAAAGGTTCATAATGCGTCTTTTACAATCCCTCTAAATAACGGGTCGGAACATTTCTCCAATCCCATCTTAAACAGTTGTTACTTCTTTCAGATTCATGTAATAGGTGAACCATTCTTAAACATCAACTGTTCTCATCTTCGTGAATTTGACCCTGATTTATACAGACAACTCGTCAGCTACCCACAAGAAGTGATTCCAGCATTTGATATGGCTATTAACGAAATGTTCTTTGACCGATTCCCTGATACTGTTTTAGAACATCAAGTTCAGATTCGTACTTTCAATGCTGAGAAGACCAAAAATATGAGAGCTTTGAACCCTGAAGGTTTGTATTTGTGTTTTTATTGGCGTTAGGTTCATAACTTTATGTTTATAGACATTCTGCTTTAAGTACATATCCATTGGTATAGATGAGCGCATGCATTTATACAAGTCAGAGGTATCATTCAGGTTGTGTCGATGAAAGCAAATATAGGAATGTTCTAACCCAAAACAAAAAAGGCTGCCCTCGTATCTGTTTAGAAACAGAGCTTAAATTTAAATTTACTAAATATGTTTATAAATATGTAAATTTTCTTTTATAGATATTGATAGATTGATTACTATTGGTGGAATGGTAATTAGATTATCTCCCTTGATTCCTGAAATGAGGGAAGCTTTCTTTCAATGTCATGTTTGTGCTTTTCCTGCTACAGTAGAGATTGATAGAGGAAGGATTGCTGAACCTACTCTATGTTCTAACTGTAACACCAATCATTCTTTCACAATGATCCACAATCGATCACAATTCAGTGATAAACAGATGATCAAATTACAAGAATCACCAGGTAATTTCTCTATGGAATAGAAGTAAGCCTAGTTTGAACAACACTTTGAGTTTCTCCTAAGTTGTCACAGGAATAAGTGATCTAAAGTGATATTACGAACCCTATTTATATTTTATACCAATTTATTTGGCTATTGATCAAATCGGCTAAAAATGCTATCCCATCTTACAGCTGATCATTGGCCAAACCTCGTGGTATTGATCTTTAGTCTGCTTGGCATTGATCTTGCTTAAATTAAAATGTGGAAAAAGGAATAATTCAAAGTCCCCAGATATTCCAATAATTTCATAAAATGCAAAATCTCACGATGACCATGTCTATTTCAGATGATATGCCACCAGGACAGACTCCTCATACAGTAATAGTTTATGCTCATAATGATCTGGTAGATAAAGTACAACCTGGAGATAGAGTTACTGTAACTGGTATATACAGAGCTACACCATTACGTGTTAATCCTAGGATGAGAAACGTCAAATCAGTTTATAAAACACATATTGATGTCATCCATTTCCGTAAAGTTGATGATAAAAGATTACGTGAATCTTCTGATGAAGGTGATGAAAGGTATGAACTGACTTTTATTGGTGACCTGAAGTTTTCTTCCTTGTGATATTCTACAGATGCATCACATATTCTGCGATAGTTGAGATTATGATTTGTAAAGGTTAAGAAATTATCTTTATCAGCTGTATAGAGTGGCCTGAGATTTTACATTCCTTAAGTATATCTTGCAAATAATTTAGGGAGTTTTCTGTGGAGAGATATTGCTGAAGTAGGAAAAGAACTTGAAGATATCTTGTTAAATGAAATATACCTTCAGTCCTAATCATTTGTTAATCTGGTTACAGTAAAGAAGTAATGAAAATGAGTGAAGAAAGAGTAGAAATGATTAAAACGTTATCGAAGAAACCAGAAATCTATCAACAACTAGCTAGAGCTATAGCACCTAGTATCTATGAAAACGATGACATCAAGAAGGGAATTTTGTTACAATTATTTGGTGGAAATAGAAAAGATTTCACTAGTTCTGGAAGGGGTAATTTTAGGTGAGTATACTTTCTAGTTATTTTAAAAAAAATGTTATTTGGATAGCTGAAATTAAGCTTTATCAGTCGAACAATACTTAACTATAGCCATTTGATATTGACTTCTTTCTACATTCATTATGTGGCAAACATCATTTTAGGAAGGATTATCTCACAGCTCTTGCTAATTTATATATTTAGGGAAAGGCCTTAAAACATATTTATACAACAATCTACCACTTATTTACATAAAGAAAGTGGTTATTCGAGTGTTATTGATAATTATGAAATATATTTTGTAGATCTGAAATTAATATTTTACTGTGTGGTGATCCTGGTACTAGTAAATCTCAGTTATTACAATATGTCTTTAACTTGGTACCTAGAGGACAATATACATCTGGTAAAGGTTCCAGTGCTGTTGGTTTAACAGCTTATGTTACTAAAGATCCTGAAACAAGACAATTAGTTCTTCAAACGTAAGTCTAATGGTCTCTTGTACCTTAAAATTTATTTTTCCTCTTTCATGCAATCTTAGTACCCTTTTGTTCTGTAGTCTGAAGATCAATTACCAGTGGTTACTCTTTTAAGCATCAAATCTGGTTTATCTTCAAGGTTTTCTTTTCTATAACACCTTTATAGTACTAAGTGAAGATGTACAATTTGTATCATCTAATACATAATATAATAGTTTCATCCAAAGCATCAATACACCTCGGATTTAAAATGAAGAAACTAAACGCAATGTTATGAATATGATAATGACCTATGTCCTAATTTTTTCAGTGGTGCTTTAGTATTGAGTGATAATGGTGTTTGTTGTATTGATGAATTTGATAAAATGAACGACAGTACTAGATCTATATTACATGAAGTTATGGTAAGATTTTATACAAGCATCAAGTTTCATAGCTGACATAACAATGTGGCAGCCATTAACAAATTAATAAAAACACATGACATGGCAACAGTCAAAGTATATTTGACGTATTTATTAGAACCAAATAGGAAAATATACTGCTTCAGAAAAATAGTTTTGTTGAAAAAATTATACTTAACAATCAGGTCCATATGATCTACTGGTTAATTTTATTGTCTTTGAACTCCATTCTAGGAACAACAAACTCTGTCAATAGCTAAAGCTGGTATTATTTGTTCCCTGAATGCCAGAACTTCTATCTTAGCTGCTGCCAATCCTGTAGAATCTCAGTGGAATAAAAATAGAACTATCACTGAAAATATTCAGCTACCACATACATTGTTATCATGGTAAGTGATTATTAATACTTCCTTTGCCATATAGAACTAAAGTCAGGGTTCGTTTTTTGGATTCCCTCCATTAATATTAAAGGTTATTTAAGACAGTTGTAGACAATTTATGCAGCTGTTCTGGTGGTAGAGGTTAAAAGTCAGCCAATAAGATTTGAACAATGGCACCTTATCACCTAGCAGACATCAGTTCAACTCTCTACCAGCTTGGTCAATCTCCTGCCACTTTTAGGATAAAGACTTTTTTGTGTCATTCAAGTGCTGTAATTTTGTTAATTTCCTTTCCAGATTTGATTTGATATTTATTGTATTGGATCCACAAGATGAGTTGTATGACAGACGTCTAGCCGGCCATCTTGTATCGTTATATTTCCGAAGTGAAAAGGAGGCAGAGGAAGAACAACTCGTAAGTATTAAGTAATGTATTAAACATCAATCTAAAATTTCAAAAGCTTCAAGTTTCTTAACTGTTTCAATCTTTGGCCTGATATAGATTTAGGCTTTTGCAAAGCTGCTAGGCTATTTTGTCTGATGCGAATAACTTATGCCTAGTGCATACTTGGCAAGTTGAATTGTCGGGCAATTAGATACTGTAGGTTCCAATCCTCTTCAAGGTAATAAAAATTGTAATGCTACCAGCTTTAAAAGCCATCCTGGTGCCAGTTTTCATCACTAAGATATGGATGCCTTTTAATGATTTTTATTGCAATTGTTTCATAGTCTGACATAGCTATTTTCTGTTTGTTGCAGGATATGGGAATATTAAGGGACTATATAACCTATGCTAAAGCTGAAATTCATCCTAAGATAAGTGAAGATGCCAGCCAAGCCTTTATTCAGGCCTATGTTGAAATGAGACAAGTTGGAAGTAGTCGTGGTCAAGTCTCCGCCTATCCTAGACAACTAGAATCATTGATCAGATTAGCTGAGGCTCATGCTAGAATGAGATTATCAGATACAGTGGAAGTTGCTGATGTTGAAGAAGCTAGAAGGTAAAAGTGGTTTTATACATGTATATCACTTGGTCTTCTGTGCTTGTCTTTAACGTTCATATAATGTAAATTTACTCTACCAAGAAGTCTGGCATTTACTAGAAGCCTTAATTGTGATCAGGTTGTTGATTCAATTTAGCAAAAACTATTCTTCAATATTAAGAAAGAAAGAAAAAGATACAATAACAAATATGTTCACAATCCTTTCTACAAGTTGGTCCTTTGTCAAAGGCGTTGTTATTTCATTTTTCCATACAAGTTTAAAGTTGAATCGACTGGGGTAATGAGCAAAGATAATTTAATATAACGTTATTTACAGGTTGTATAAAGAAGCTTTAAAACAAGCAGCAGTAGATCCATCAACTGGTAAAATAGATATTACTATATTAACTACTGGCATCAGTGGTGCTGCTAGAAAACGTAAAGCAGAGGTTGCCCAGTCTCTTAAAAAACTTATCACTGAGAAAGGAAAAGTACCTACACTGAAATATCAGCCGTTATATGAACAATTCCGAGAAAGATCTGACTTCGTAAGTATTTTAACTTCTACCGAATTTAATTCTTCAGATTCTTGTCCACTTCCATTTTTCTATGTAAAAGAATTGGTTCCAATATACAAAATATTTATAATTAAGTTAATCTCTTCAGATTTGCCAACTTATTCCATAATGGAACAACTCCTTGTCAGTAGGACTGAATTTTTACTATTACATTAGCTACTAGGAAATTTAGCCAATGCTGATCTGATGAAAAAGAGGGTTAGACTTTTGTAAACATGGTAATGATTTGTATATTTCAGCCTGTAACTAAAGATATGTTTGATGATGCACTAAAAGAATTACAAGATGAAGATTATTTGATAGTTACTAATAAAGTTATCAGATTATGTTAAATGTGGTGAAGTTTCTTGTGTTGTAAATTATTTGGTGGTACAAATATTAATCTTGTATAAAAATGTAATTTTTATGAAGTAACGAGTGCTGTTAATAAAATGTGCTAAATTCTGAATAGCCTCGTGTATATGAAATATTTTAATGTATATATTAAGGATCTCAGTTTTGTCATTCTATATTATTAGTCTTGACAATATTTTTGGGATGTGGCAGAAATAAACAAGGGCCCACCATTGCAGTTAGTTGAAGTAATATTGAAAATTGTTCAGGTACTACTTGTGTTCAAGGTTTGAATTGGTCCAGAACATTTTTGCCTTACTATCCAAGTTATCTATGTAAATATGTATATATATTTTGAGAAGATACCAAGTGTTTACTTGTGTTCAATTGATACCAGTCTTGCATTTATTACAGACATTTATAACAATATCAGCATTTCACTGCCTTGCTGTATATTGAGTAGATCTAGATTATCTTTCTATTATTGTATTGAATTTATTTGTACAAAATACACAAATTACATAATACTGTCTTGATACTTCTATTGGTTCTGCCTTAGTTTGCTAAGGGTGCTGGGACGGTTCAGCCACGATCTAGTTTGCTAACCCAGTTTCCTGCTTTAATATCCCATGACAGCTTTTGGTTTCAAAAATTACTATGAACATCAAGTCGCCCTTATAACAAAGATGGGCACATCCTGGTCAAATCAAAGACTAGCAGTAATTTAAACTCCTTGTTAATTTATGATTTGAATCAGACCTTGTTGTGCACATTCATAGACATACTGAGTTATGAGCTTCAAATTTTAACATTTTCCACCAGTGTAAAAAAAAAAATAGACACAGGCAGAATTCAGACTGGCAGAGAAGGGAATAGACTAATATAATTTGGTCTTGTACAGTTCAATAGAGGACACCAACCGAGCGCAATATTTAATATGGGTAGATGATTATGGGCCATGATAATAAAGGCATACAACCATGCTTAAAAAAAGTTCAATTTAACAATTTCAAAAACAGCCTTTATTGGGCAATAATATTGATATTAAATATTTTGGTAAGATATATCACAGACATACTGGATCTGGATAAACAAAACTAAGTCTAATATTTCTTAGAAAATATTGAAAGATATAAGTGTAGTGGTAAAGTAAAATACTAAATAACCGGAAACTTTGGTGTCAAAACAATGGATTTCTAAGTAATGCTGAAACAAGATATGAAGTTGTTTGTATGAACCCTCTTTGGACAATAATTTGTGTATTCTTTCGACAATATTCCTTTCTTAAAAATATAACATTATCATCAGTACTCAATACTTGAATAAGAGAAACTATGAGAAAAGGAACTTAATACCTAATACAAGTTTTAAATTGGTTAACAAAATTAAAACTTCATGCCAGAAATGACCATCTTGACTAAAATCACAGTAAAATATATCACAATTATTAAATAACGAACACAATTTTATGGTATACTACTCCTTAGTTTTATCACCTGAAGATGACAATGTAGATTGTTGAAATGTAGTGTGTAATAAAACTAAAGAGTAGTATACCATAAAATTGTGTCCGTTATTTAATGTGATCTCTACTCCTAAATGTCGCTAAAGGATTATCACAACTATTGTCTTTAAGCCTCATCTTTTGTATCCCATTTAGGGACTGTTTCCAGTTGTAAATATTAAATTTATTTATCAAAACAATATTAATCAACATATAATTTTAGGGATTTTGTTTCAACTGTTAAATTTTATTCTATCAACCACAATCAGATGCCTGTGACTTTAAGTTATTTTAGCAATTAACTATGAAAATTGGGTATATTTTGGAATTCATGTAAGATATAATGTCTTAAATATAGAATGATCAATACTGTGGTATTTAAAAGGTGATTCAATAATAAAATAGTTATACAGTGGAGTCAATATTGAAAAAAAGTCCAGTCAGCAGTAATAAACACAACCAATATATAACAACACTACACATCCAGTGCCAGTGCTTTCTGCTGAATAGTAACCACACTACACATCTTGTATTGTTAAATGTTCAACTTTCAACATTCCACGTTTTGATTCAGATCTAAATTTAGCTAAATCTTTTCTCGTAACCATACCAACTGGCTGAAAATAAGGAAAAAGAACAAAAATTAAAGTCAACAGATCAGCTAGCAGACAAGATCTACTGGAACCAAAGCTGTTTGTTATATTTTCTTTCTTCAGAGTGTTTGACTCTTGTTGGTAAAACTAGTCAAGACGTTAGACAGTATTTCTATTTATTTCATAGAACTTAAACTTACCTCAAATTTATCATTTATTATGATCAAATGGCGTAATCCTAAACCACGAAATAATCGGAATACACGTGGCATAGAGAAAGACTGGAAGATAAAAATCAAAAGATGTATGTAATGGTACATAGTAAAAGCAATGTCCATAGAAAGAGTTGTATATTGTAATATTAATTGACTATAAAGAAAATCACTATGTAAAAAGTAGGTACCATATAATTTTGAACACAATGCACATCCTTCTTACGCTCATTTAAATCTGAGAGTTTTATAAATTTGTGATTCACAGGTCCATTATGATATGACAATTTGTCAAATATATGTTACTAATTAAATATAACTTACAGGCCCCACTGTATAAGGACTGATATTCATATAAGGTTTCAAATCTAATATATATTCTTTTTCTTCTTCAGTAACAGTGATATCCTGAAATTATCATGATTTAATAATATATGACTTGGTGTCTAGAGAGTCCGGACATATATCTTTGGAAAGTAATGTTCAGTGTGTACTGCAGACTGGATGGTTGTTTGCCATCAAAAATTCTTTTTATTTATTATTCATTTATAGATTTATTTTTATATTTGAAATATCAAATAAAAAGTCATCTACCTTCAATTGTAATCTTTGACCAATAGGATAAGGATTATCAAAATCTTTCATCTGTATATTGGATGTAGGTGGTAGTAAACCTTCAGGTGCAAAAATCTACAACAAATAGTCAAGTGTAAATAAAGTTTGATAATACAAAACTGGTAATTATAGGTGAATATTGAAGCAATTTCAATTTCTAAGTGCTGTTAATTTGTTAATTTGACTCTCCTGACTGATAAGGGTATAGGAATAACTATCTTATTTATAAATATTAAAAAAAAAACAATATATTACAGCAACGGCCTGTTGCATACTTTGCCTATAGAATAATAATACAAACCTTTTTCTCTAATAAAACTAAAAGTTGATTTTTTAAAATAATTCCTCTCAATTTACCAACTACATAATGTTGGTCCTGAAAAATTATAACAAAGTTATCTCCCTTTAGTCTCCAAAACCAGAAAATAAAAGAGTTTTCGAAAATGTCATTTTCAAAAAGGCCAGATCTTAAAGGGATTGTAAAGAGATTTTCTAAATTTTTGATGAGTATAGAGGGCATTTGCACCATTCCAATTTTCAATCAGACGTCTTAAGTTCCTGAAATTCCATAAAAAATGTAAAAATTCTACAGTCTTACATGTAAAATGATAACATAACTTAGGTTATAGGAACATAAACAGAAAAATACAGACTACAAACCTTTTTCCTAACATCCACCACAGGATAACCACCATATGTTTCTGAATCTAAAATTTCTATTATTGTTCCTACTTTTTCTTGTGTTTGTAAAGCTAATACAGGTTGACTCATAACTTCACTGAAATATTAAAAACATCATTATCTTCTAGTTTTCAAACTACAGAACTATTACATAGAGTTACTGCTATTATACCACAGATATATACTATGAATATTGGTATATTGTATTTTATATTAGAATATTATACCACAGATGTAGTATATCACATTAATATATTAGATAAGTATACCATGAAGGAGTGTGGATATTGTCGGAATGTGGAAATAAACAGGCCTTACATGACCCACTCCGCTCGATGTCTTTTCATGTAATGAAGCAGCGCTTATTTCCCCATTACAACAACATCCATATTTAATCCTTAAGTGAAGCATGTCGACAGGTATATCACCATTTAGTCTCCAAATTGACATGGAACCACATATTGGATTTCACTCAGACAAACCCAGATTTCTCACCTACAATTTCAATTCAAGAAGGCACTTCTTCAAATTCTAGAACAGGAAAGAAATTTTCATTGAGGCTCTATAAATGCTTCATGTATTAATATGTTTATGCTGTATATATGTAGGTGTACTATCAAATAAAAGCTGATTTAAAATGTTTGCTAACCTGGCTTTGACATGTTCACAAAGAATGGGTGGTTCTGATGATAACAATGGTATACCACTGACTTCAATATTCATATCATATAAACCCTGAAAATTATCATAAAATTATAAGATTGTAATGACAAAACTTACATACATACATCTTAACTCATCTACTTTACCAATTTGGAACTTGAGATTTCATCAATATCCACAACAAAATCAGATAAAAACTGCAGCCTTTGTCATGTTCTTGAGCCAAATTTGAATGTTTATTACTAAGTCAAGAGCAATAACTAAAAAATCATAACTGAATGACTTCATTAATATACTCTTTTTGTCTTCAAGAAAGCCTGGTGCACTGGGACAATAACAATAAACTTCCACATTTCTATGAGGGCACCTAATCAGAGCGACAAAAAGGCTTGATAATCAATGATAATGTATACTTACAGTAGTAAAGAAGTCTCCAACCCATTTGGATATCATCAATGTCAACATGATAGGAAGACCAAATGAGATATCACCAGTACATTCTACTATTATAACAGTTAAACTAATAGTGGTCCGTAGTATACCGCCTAACATACTAGCTGCACCTATTAATGCGTATTTACCTACATCCTTGGCCTACAATATAATATATTACTTAATCAAAACTAAGCAATTAAATAATTTTTCTTGTGCCTGTTGTTGGATTTTTACTTCAATATATTAATTCATATATCATAAATGACATAATATATTTTCAACCAAAGTAAGCATCTATCAAAAACACAATACATTTACAAGTCAAAAATTTTTTTTAAAACTCTGGAATGAGAAATTTTCAACATTTTCACAAATTTAAAGCCATAAATTGAAAGCTCATTTGTGTATTGTAAAGAACAATTTAACATAATGTAATAAGAAATGAGAAGCAACATGCTAAAGGAGTTTCTTTAAGTAAGCAAAAGTAAAATAGAGCTCATGGTTTTATCTATTCACTACTCTATTCCAAACTGTAGAGTGTCAAATGAATGAAGCAGGTATGGTATGTAAGTAAAGCTACTTGAGCAACTGTAGCAAATACATTCCCTGATAGCAATTATGTATACTTCTGTCAGTCAAAAATAACAAGTATAGATTAACATAGAAAGCTACAACTAAAATTGATACAACATACATTCCACTAAATCTGAATCAATGAAATATAACAATCAACATAATAGGCAAGAGAATAAAACCTAAAAATAAAATGCAGCAAGAATGAAAAAAAAAGAAAAGAAAAGAAAAGAAAAGAAAAGAAATTTTAAAATAAAATTACAATTTTAACAATAAAAAATTGAATTTTTAAATAAATAAAAAAAATATATGAATTAAAAAAATTCAGTTATCAAGTTAGTAATAAATGAATTGACCAATAACTCCCTACCATAATTACCAGACCGTGGACTGAAACACACTAACTTACCCTATCTGTATTCAATAATTTACCATTAGTTGTCATATCTGTTACATTATGAAGTAAAATCTAATAGATATAAATATAGGTAATAGATAGAAGATAGAAAATAGACTGGGAGGGGGTGGGGTAAATCTAAATTACATTGCTAGCAGGGTAGGGGTGAATAACTCAATATAAAGACTTAGGAACATATGAATACTGGCGAACATTCATTGTGACAGCTACTACATCATCTGTAATCATTTTCATGATAATTACAAAATTATCCATAAAACTTGCACAGTGGGAAGTTTTTATTTATTTTTTCCTTTTTCCATAAGAAAATTACAAAATAAATTTTGACAAGTATCAATGACCAGGATAACTTAAAATCTTAAAAAAAAGAAAAACACGTTAAATAGCTGAATAAATACATGCAGGAAATAGAAAAATACATAAATATGTTGAAAACTTACATGATGTGGAAATAATTCAACAACTCCTATACCAATTAATCTACCCCAAGCAGCACCAATAGCTAATGATGGTATAAACACTCCACTTGACACACTCAAACCATACGTCCATACACCCAATAGAAAGAATACTATTATAAATACAGTTAATGATACTACACCATACGCATCTGAAACATATCATTATTAAAACATTAAATAATGCATAACAACATTTCCTTTCCAATAATTTGAAAATTTTATATTTTTAGGCCTTGTCAAGGCACCTTTAATCTAGGAACCTGAAGGTTTGTCTCGTTGAAGAGTAGATGTTCCTATAACTATGAAGGGAAATGTGCACGGAAATCCAACAAAATATAATAAATACTTTACCATGTGGATCATGTAATAAAGCTTTAAGGCACCCTTCAGGAGTTGTTAAAAATAATGTGGACATGGAATTATGACTTTTGTCTTTGCAAAACATCTGAAAAATGAAACAGGGAGATAAGAATCTAAAAACAAGGTGTAGCCACATTTACCTTAGAGGTTAAAGGGATGTAGTCACAAAAATTCACTTCAGAATAAAAATCAAACATCTACTTGTTCTGTTGCACATTTTTCTTTCCTTGTAGACACACCTGATGTCAGATTTACATTCTGATAAATGATATTGAAGGTAGTAAACTAACTTACTTGTGAGGTAATAGCGTGATCACTATAAGGTTTAACATCTGTACATTCGTTAACACCATACATTAGAAGAAAGGCTATAATAGCACTAGCTACTGAAACTATACCAGATTCCAGTACTTTTAACCACTTCTTTCTTATATAGCTACAAGAAAAATCAGACCAATATTATACGAAGAGAAAATATATTTCTGATGATAGAGTTTTTAGTATATAATCTTCATGATAACAACTATAAAATCACAAGAATTAAATCAGTATGCATTATCAATATAGAATCTAATAAGAGGGCAATAGAATATTAGTTTACAACTGAATGGAACTTAACCCACAACTATATGAAAGTATGTGATCCACAAACACTTACTTTTTTCTAAAAACTGTTAATTTGTAATTTAAAACAACAAACAAAGCACCAGCGAGGCCACCTGAAAGTAAAATAAAATCACTGATGATTCAGAATAAATAAGACATTTTTTTTTCAGAAAGACATCTATATTCATAGACTATCAACAACATTTGAAGAATTTTCAACAAAATGTGATACTGCGGGATTGACAATAGGCAAAGAGGTAGCTTGGGTTTCTATAGATATCAAAATTAATTTTTTCAAGAACTGGTCAGCATCACAATGGAAACACCAAATAAAAAGACATTGGATTTCATTAAACAACACCCTTGTTATAACTTACCTATGACAGCCATCACCAAAAAAACTAAAATTTCAATCAGATCAAAGGAAAGATTCTGAAAATAAACAATCAGTGATTTAGTTGTGTCTGTCAGACATTCACTGACATTCAAGTATGAATTTAATGAAAAAGCTAGGTCTGTAGCTTGTCTTCTGCTTGGCAATTAGGTGCCAAAGGTTCAATTCTTTCTATGGTGCTATAGCCAGTGCTTATGAGATTAGACTTTCACTCCCTTACCATGGAGAGTTAGAAAGAATATCTGTCTACCAGATCAAACGATAGAGAGTGAAACCAACTCAAAGACCCTTCAAAAATCATATCAGAAAGATCCATCTAACACTATAGATAATGATGATGAAAATATGTGAAAAATATCAAAAAGGCTGTGTATTTACCTGGAATGTATTGAAACGAACTAGACCAGGTGATGATAAATGGGTGGGATGACCTTCAAAGGCACTTAGTAAAAAATTGGTTGAAAAACAAGCAACCATAGCCGAGAAAAACTAAAAGAGAAAATCAGAATTTACTTATAACAAATAAACAGTAGAAGAGTGATTTTACCAAAGGTATATGAACTTGAAATAAAAAAAAACCACAGCAATTAACTCAATACTTACAACTTTCCAGACTAGTTCTGTGTTCCAAAAACTTGCTGCCTCTTCTACACTAAATAAAGTTCCACCAACTGGAGCACCAAAAGCAGCTGACACACCAGACGCAGCTCCTGCTGCCACAAAATCACGAATTTCATGATCAGATCGGAAGGCATCATAAAACTGAAAATGTTCATTACAAAATATATGACGAAGATATATAAAACGAATAAACAGTCATAAAATTTTTTATTAAACTGTTTTCTAGACTTTTATAGAATTTTATATATTCTGTAAACATTTTCAGAACAATTACTTAAACAAGCCTTTCTGTCTCCTTAACAAAACCTTTCAATGTCAGATTGCCACTTTTCTCAGTGCAGTTATAGACTTGGAATATCTTATTATGGAGTAGCTAGAGACCTGTCTAACTATAGAATAGAGATAGTCTCTTAGAAAGGTCACCACATGAAATTCAGAAAATAATTACCTTGATTTCTTTGTTCTTGCGTAATCTCATTCTACCCTTAGCTAGACCTGCTGCCATTATCCCACCTGAATGAGCCATTGGACCTTCCTGAAATAATAAGACATTTCTATAAAACAATAATATTGTGAATTTAAGTCATTATTATCATCATTATTACTATCATCATTATCATAACTATCATTATCATTATTACTGTCATTATCATCATTATCATTATTACTGTCATTATCATCATTATCATTATTACTGTCATTATTATTGCTGTCATTATTATTATTAGTCATTATCCTCATTATCACTATCATTATTATTACTGTCATTATTATTACTGTCATTATTATTACTGTCATTATCATCATTATCATTATCACTGTCATTATCATTACTGTCATTATTATTACTGTCATTATCATCATTATCATTATTACTATCCTTATTACTATCATTATTACTTTTATTATCATCATTTTTATCATTATCATCATCATTATCAATTTTTACTATCATCATCATTATTGCTATCATTATTATTATCATCATCGGCATTAATATTATAACTATCATCATTATTATCATCATTATTACTATCATTGCTATCATCATCATTATTGCTATCATCATCATAATTGCTATAATCATTATCATCATCATTTTTACTATCCTTATTAGAATCCTCTTTTTTCTACCGTTATCATTATCATCATAAAAAGCAGTATTTTACTTTAAGGGAATATTTGAAAAAATGTTTTAATCTTCACAAGCAGTTTTAAGCCAGAGAGAAAGCTTGATCTTGAATTTTAGTTTGAAAAGTTTTAAAGTACAAAATTAGAAAACCTTATCCCTTTAACATATAACATATCTCTTTCATATAGTGGAATTAACTATTGGTCTGATAGTAAGAAGGCAAGGAAGAAATCATGTTGTCAACTCTTAATAGGTTCACTTTTTACTAGAAGTCTCGGTAGAAACTTCAATTTCAGTATTGACATGACATTGAATTTTATTTTGAAAAGATACAGGTAACTCATTAGATATCAATATAGCTTTAATATAGAAGGAACAAGTATATCTTGAGAAATAAACTACTAATCAAATTATACTGTCATCTGGTATGGTATGATATAGTCAATTCTTGATGTATTCACTTTATCATTCCAATATTCCTTAATAGACACCCTTAAAGATGAGTTTCCTTATTTTTAAGTGTCAAATTAAGTCAACTTTTTGATTAACGGTGTTTCTAATGAATTATCATATATTCTTAATCATATCATTATATTCTTATTGCAATTGATAGAGTTGCTAGAGTTTTAACCAATCATTAATGTCCATGTATGTACAGTCTGGATAAACAAAAAAGACTTTTTGCTCTTTCTTCATCGGTCACTCATTGGACTCCTGGTGGTAATTCTCTTCTAATTTAGCTAATTATGTATTAATTATGGACATGTGAGACAAACTGGTATTTTTCCAAGTCATTAGAACACCTCTACTTTCTATTCATATAAGAATAAGCATTTTCATTTTCATAAATGACATCAGGGAACCCATCTTTAAAGATTTTTCTGTCCTCTAATTACAACTTATTCACCTCATTTAGAGAGAAAACGATCATAAGTCACTTTAATATATATTCGCAATAGTTCCACTATTAATATATGAACTAATAACATGAACTTGGCGGCAGTAATATTTACTTTTCTTTTGGCACCGTTATTTAGTCTTGATTCATAATCATGTTAATCAGGATATCTTGTTTACTTTATTTATATAGTTGATGTAAACATCTACCACCATCATAGAGAACGCAGAAAAGTCAACAGTTTTATATAGGACCATATGTTTTCTTGATAAAAAGTTAACAATAACTTCTTAATAATAATAGTTTCTTGATAATTCAAGCCAGTCTTTATCACCTCCAGTTATTGTATACCTTTTTATTTTGAATATATTTTGCTTCTTGATTTTGTATATCAAAACAAAGGCATGATCAATACCATGTATATTTCTTTCCCTATTTTTCATTTGAAATCTACAATGACTTTCAAGGCCTCTGATTAGCTATATTCGCTAATGTACAATCCAACCAAAATGCTGTATTTGCAAACTTCTGTGATACAAGAAAGATGGCTATCGCAATTAAGGTATATTTGTAATAGCTTTACAATTTGAAGATGAGATATGTTAATCTTGACAAGGCCAATATTATAAAAATAAATAGAGGAATGGATCCCTTGATATTACAATATACTCTTAATATCAAAGCTCATTGCTATTTAACACTGAACTTTCTATTGAAATTTCCAGTATGAATTCCATGGCATTGTGTAATGCTAATCCCTGGAGATACTTTTGTAGAGTTCCAATCATTCTATCTTTCAGCCAGACATTAGATCTGGTACTGAATAAGATACCTACTGTGATCTCGGAACTTAGATAGAATTAAAGTTGATTAAACTTAATTAGATACTTACCTTACCGCAAGCTAGACCACCTAATATAGACAATATAACACCCAGTGTTTTAGCCACGAAAGCTTGTAGTGTAAGAAGACCAGGTATTCGAACACCATTTAAATATGACTTGATAAATGGAATTCCACTGCCAGCAGCAACAGGCTGAAATATTAAAAGAATATCATGCTAGATTATACTGAAAATTCATTTTCAAAGAATATCATCATCTCACAGATGTGATACAAATGTTACAACTTCAAAAATTGCAATGATGGTAAATTTTTGTATATTTAATGGTCTTCTTTGTATCCTGACTAGGCGTTAAAGTATTGTTAGCTACATGTGTCTCACATTCATTTTGAAAGTGGCATATTTGCAGGATCTTGCTATTGTGATTGTGGGTGCAACACTGCTCCAGAATTGGCGCTGAACCTTCTTTGGCAGTCTTCAAATTTCTTATTATTTAAATGCTGGTGCTGTGAGACCACCTTAACCTTTCTGTGGCTCTTCCACAGAATTATAAAAACAACACTGTGTTTTCACAATTTTCTTTTTTTAAAGAGTTATTTATTGTTGGGCTTTAAAATTTTTAAAGATAAACAGCTTTGTCTAGGTTAGATTGTATCAAAGAAAATATTGTAACTCTCAAATTAACTTCCTTAATCTAGATTGACTTGCCATAAATTGTCATTCAGTTGAATGTACAAAAACCTACAGGGAAATCAGACGTTCTTTTATATTTTTGATGTCAAGAGACCAACAGACAATATTTAACTGTATTTTGATAGATTGTCACGATATATGACATCACGAAACATTAAACAGATGTTTTATATCTGACCAGAGTCAACTTTATTTCACTTCAGTAATCATTTCAATTTATCAATATGAACATTCTATTACAACTCATCACTGTTATTCTCAGATCACTTGCAAAGTCAACTTGACTCGATATTATTTGATAAACTCATTTAACAAATGAGTTCTACCAATCAAACATGTACATACCATATTGATAGAAGGTATGCATGCGTGGAAGAGTTCAATAGAAAGTTTAGGGGATAACTGGGACACAATATTCAAAAACAATCAAAATTTTAGTACTGTTGGCTCAAGCAATCAAGTAATTTTTACAGCAAAAATTTGGGTTTTGAAATTTTTCTTGAAAATAAGGTGACATTTGCGACAAAGGTCTTCATAAATATTACAATATGCATATATTTCTAATCAATATCTTTTCTTCTCTATATTCTTTAAATATTCTTTTAATCTATAGTAAGATTAGGTTTTTAGGTTATTAGCAAAAGCTGCTGGTAACGTGTAATGGCAAAATCATTTCAAGAGTTGTATTTTTTATAGAGTCCCACAGTGAAATTAATTCAACGTCATTAATAATGAAGCTTTCAGGAAGAAATTTCCAGCAGAAAACTTTAGAAGAATAAAAAAATTTCTGACATTCACACGAACTAAATGATCGTTTTATTGTTCAATTCTTAAAAAAACAAATGTTTTATTGATTGATTTATCTTGAATCGTGAAATCTCAATTGATTTCGCTAATTAAATTAGCTATCTTGATAAAAGCATTATTCTATGAATAATTCAAATTACTCTAATATCAACTATGAGTGGGTGTCTTCTCTACTTCTTTTGATAATTTGACATAAATACCGTTCATTTTCATTAACTTCTTTCAACAGAATTAGGGATAATTGTTCCCTCAAAGTTAAGTGGCTGTTTTTTTGTTAATTTAATTTGCAAATGTTAAAGGATACTTGAGAACAGGACCGTAGACAGACTTGATTGTAAAAAGGGAGGGACATCCGGAGGGGCGAGCAAAATATCTGGAAGGGCAATGGGGTATGGCATTAAGTTGCAGTAATGAATTTGGTTGGTTGTCAGAATTTTTTCGTAATGTTTGTTTTGTTATCTAAAATATTTCCTACTTTGTTTACAGTAAAAAAAAATATACCAAATAAACAATATTAGCCATGCAGACTCTCCAAGTTAGATTCCAAGCTGACAAACCCAGTCTCAGAGTGGCATCAGGTAAAAATAACAGGATTAGAGTCTAGACTTACCTGAACATATGTAACAAGAGCAGCACCAAGTGAAGATATAAAAAAATTGATAGCAATCCATATAATAACAGGAGTAAATAATGTACACCCTTCTACAGAACATTTATCTAAAACTGTATCAAATATTAAGGAAATAATATATAATGGTGTAGGGCATGCATTGTTAGCAAGTTGAATTGTGATCTTCTAGGCGATTAGGTTCTGTGGGATTGAATTCTCTTCAAGGTAAGAACAATTCTAATGGCACAGTCAGTTTTCTCACCCCTTAATTACTGAATTTAATATGATCATTGTTCATTCTTGTTTATTGTATACAAAGACCAGATAACAATGATATTCCCCTTACAGTATTTAAAAAGATACATTTCTGTATAAGATGGAATTTTTCGTGAGCAATAATTTCCACGGAGATCTGAACTCCAGCAGCTAACAGAGCGGTACCAATACCAACAGCGAACATAATCACCCATCTACTGATAAACATCATAGTCAACTTTTTCTGAAATTAAATGAATTTTAAGTTAACAAGTTTTAGATTAGGTTACAAATCAAATAATTGAATAACATACTAATCTTTTTACAATTCTGATATCAAAATAACAGTTCCTTATTGATCCTACTCTTTACTGTGATCTCACTGAGAGTTTTGCGTTATGTCATAGGCAAGATCAAGCTGAAATCTATATCCAATATGCTACCTAAATTTAAATTAATAAGACACAACTGAAGCTTGGTGCAACTGATGGCTAATCGAATTTTTCAATCAAAATGGAACCATAACGAGATCTACTCAATTTAACGAATTTAGTGAATACCTTCGATGTGTTAGTTTCTTCTTCCTGTGATCGTAGTTCACTTTCAATAAGATCATAATCCAGACTCTGAAATATCAGAGTAATTAATCAGGGGTGTAAGCTGGTTGGAAACTTGGGTCATCCATCTCCAAAATTTTGGGATAACAGAAAATATTCCAAATGCTCAAGGTTATATAAATATGTTGATAAGAATTGTGATGAAGTACAGGTGAACCAAACAACCCCATTCTCTCTTTAACCTAGCTTTTGTTTACAGAGTAAATAGGACCTGAAGGTTCCCTGTTGAATTCCAAACCTAGTCTTTGGCTCTGACTGTAGATTTCACTTAGAAGACACTTTGTTACAGTTAGTTTCAAATTCTCCAGCTAATATATAACAAAGTATAACAAAGTATATATTTCAACAATCAGACATGTAACTGATTCTTTAATAACAGTATTGTCTGCTAGATGATCAGTGATTTAACTTAACCTTAACACATCTATTTTGTCAACATGTTGGTTTAAACTTCTCCAGAGTTTGGAAGGCAGTGTGTAGTACTAAGCACTGTTTTTAAGGGAAGAATCAATGTTAATTCCCTGTTTATGCCATTGTTATTAATAGCAAATAGTTTCTTCAAATTGCTTTTTAATTCAAAAAAAAGTTAATGGAGAGAGAATTACTTTAAAAATGCCTAAGCTCTTATTCTTTGTATACACATAATATACATATTCCAATACTAGTAAAACAATATCACCATGAATGATATTTGACATAATCAATATAATATATTTACCTCCCATTTTGACACCAATCTCTTTCGAAATCTTGGCCCATCACCATATTGTTTGAGCTTTTTGCTGATATCCTAAATAATAATTTCACATCATAAATATTAAAACTTGGGCAGACTGAATCTAATCGAAGCATGTTTATCTATTTATAAAAAGGTTTGTAATGGTTGGAAAAGTAAATTTTTTATGGAATCATTTCAACAGATAGAGAATTTTTATAGATTTGATTTTTAAGTTTAATCATGAGAACATGAAATTTTAATAAGTTCATGAGTACTTGAAGTCATATATTGACAGGAGCACGAAATCCAGGAAACTTGAAGCCAATGCAAAATGATTATTTTACAGAATTATAGATGAATTGTCTGTTCAACTGAAACCTTTCCAGACAACCTTTCATCAGATAACGACAAACATGTGAGAAGCTAATCGACTTCGTATTTGAAGAAAATAGCCTAAATTAACAGATCTGATTTCTATAGTTGCTTTAAAGGAATACTACCTCTTAGAATATAAGTAAGATTTAAAGCGCATTTATTCATCAGTTGGACGCTTCAAAGCAGGTTTCAAAATTAGTTTAATGAATCATTACTTATTTTAATAGATATATTGGATTATAGAGGGATTCTGTTGTATAGTTATACAAGATAAGTCCACTGATGATCATAAACTTGTTCATCCTAGGAGGTAGTATACCTTTAATGGAAGAAAATTACTATTAATGTGAATAATAAATCAGGAAGAATTGTCTCGTTAAACTTGGAAGAAGTAGAAATAGTTGAATCAAATTGCAATATAAATATACTGTTATAGGTCTTGTTGATAATCTTAGAAGTTATGAAGTTCTTGCATGTAGCCCAATGAATCTTACAATTTTTTCAACAGAAATTTCAAAATTGAGAGTGGATGTCTCTTTTATAAAAACAGGAAGGTGACTGGACCCTTTTTCCAAGTGTTCAACAAAATATGTATTTGTAACTGTTGCCTTGTTTGAAAATTTCATGCATCCTACAAATATTTCAAAACGGAGTCTGAATTATTAAACTTGTGGATCAATAATTAGAGGAAATTACTAAAGAGGAAGGGATATTTACCCTAAATTTGGAAGACAGTAAAGCAGTGATACTATTCTGTACTAATGTATCTGAAGGTTCCGAGGCACTATCGTTGAAATCAAAGTTTGGAATATGAGGAGTCTTGGCTGATAGTCGAGATGCTAGCTGATGTACTTCCGATTCTGATTTAGCATGGTTTAAAGCATTCTTTACTTTAGTCACAGTAAACTGAAATAAAAAAAATGTTAAGCTTTGAGAATTTCAGAAGCAATAGGAATCAAGTTTGCGGTTTCCTATTGAAATTTTGTGAGACAGGGTTTGTGATCATTTCAGGAATCGTTAACCACTTTTGTTGACTCTTGGCTTCTTAATACCATTTTTTTTTTATTTACATCTTTTCATCAAAGGGCCTTTTTTCCCAATGAAAGTCAAACATCATTTGAAATAATCTTGGAAAAAAGTTGGTGTTTCAAGCAGATTATGTCTTCTTTAATGACTTCTTATTACACTCTTTAAAATCTCACATAATAGTGACATTACTCATTCCTATAATAAAGGTCAATGCCTCCTGTTTTTTCAGTAGAAGCATATATTATACCACTTTGTCTAGAATCAGATTGAAAATTGAAAGATATCCATTAAGTGAAAACGTATTTTTTTTTTTTTTGCTTAAAGCAAGCCTACCTTAGTATCCTTTGTTAATTTCTCAAAATATTTTAAAACTAATTGTTTTTTGTAAGTATCCTCTTGAACAAACTATGTTTTATTGTTAGTTTTTTTAAGGAACAGAGGCTTGTGTTTTCAATAATTTGGAAACAACATCTTAATTCTATCATCATCACCATCATATTCAAAAGTTAGCCTACTTGAAATGAGATAGTTGTAATATAAGCTGAGAAAAAAGAATTTTTGGAAATGAGATGGTTTCTATCAATATGAACTTTAGGTTAAGAATCTCCTCCATATACTCTACCAGACTGGAAAAAGTGCTAAATGCAATATGGAAATTAATGAATGTTAAACACAGAGTTATCTTTGCAAAGCTTACAGATGATGCATAAAATGTAACAGAAAATTAGCTTTGGTGGTTGGCTTTTGAGGATCACCTTTGGTGCCACAGATTTGGTGAAACAACTTTGAGTTTGAATGGAAACTAGAGTTACTGTCCATACTGTATATACAGCCGATTGAGATTGTGGTAACATGTACCTACGCCAGTGCTTCTATAAGAGAATATCTCTTATAAAACCTTACACTAGCTTTGCGAGTGCCAGCAACAAAGTAGGACTTGTACAATCTGGGCCAGTGCTTCTATATGAGAGCATCTCTTATAAAACCTTAAACAAGTATATCTATTTTCACAACCACAATATTTATTATTCTATCATATACCTTGAACAAAATTGTGCACAAAAACAAAAACATGTACATTGATTTTGAAAGTTGAGGACAAGTAATTTTTTCAATTCCACTTCAATAAGATTCACCATGTTTTAAGTTTCCTGTAAATCAATCATTACAATAAGACGAGGAGAAACGTGAAACTTTAATAACCGCAGTGGTTTCTAGTAACATGGAATAAGAAAAACAGAAAATATATTGTTGTTTAACAAGCCAAGAAACCTTTCACACTTATTGATTGAAAAACAATATTATCTTAACTCAAGACGTCTATTTTTTGAATTGATCTGGAATTTTATAAACATGATAGATGTAGACCAAACGCTAGACTAAAAGACGTTCTATCATCAGGATAATAAATAAAATAGGCAATATCAATAATAGATATATCAAAATATCATCACATCTTACAGCATACAATCAGTGGGTTTACTGATAACAAAGAAGGAATATATTGATAACAAACCAAGTATTTTATATATTTGCATCTCTTCTCTTTGAATGTTTTCCAGATATTTTCAGCCTTCAAAAGATGGTTATGCTTTGGAGATTTTCTTTTAACAGCCATAAAAGAAAAACTACCAGTTTTCAGAATTGCTAAAAATATGCTTTTTTGCAGATATGATTTAATTCCCCCAACTGTTCAGAGGTCAACTTATATTGCAGAAGTTCCTGGAATCTGCTTTTATCTTAGTTTCACATTAGAATTAGGAGCATTCAATTGCTTTAAGGTATATCACTATATCTTACAAACACTTATGATTGGAGAGTCTCAGAGCCAATACTGTTAACACTACTTTGAACATATATTGTGACAGACACATTACTTTAGCCATTTACACATCAACCATTTCTTATCTTTAAAAACTACAGAAGATCATTTTTACACATAGCCTACACCCAGTAGGTCAGATTTTATGACTGAGTTCTTTTATTATCCAGCTTTAAGGTGGCACATCAACCCAAAAACAATCTTAGACTTTCAGTAGTATGTTAGAGTTAATATAATATATAATTCATACAAATCATTGTGGTTGATCAGAACATGAAATGAAATGAATAGAGTTTTACGTCTCTACTTTTCTGCACCATATGGGCTAATGAAGATGGGTAATGCCATGTAGTCTGCATTAGCATACTTTTTTTTTTCGATTTGAAACTGCTGAAGGATCTTTAATGTGCACAGTCCAAACGACAGGACCTTTTTCCATATTAACCCCTCCGAACAACATCACTGACTGGGGGAAATCAGGCTAAAAAATCTACAAGTGTTCTTTCAAGTAGGCCTGATTCTACAGATTAGCAAACAAGAGCCTAAATCACTGAGTCACCACAATCTTGTTGGTTCAGGGTTTTGTTGCTAATTTTAATTATTTCAACTTATGGTTACATTATATAATACTTCTTATAATCAAGGCAGTCTGGTCCCAATACAGACTA